AAGAATTTTATTATTTTCAAAGATAATTGAAATTTTGACGTGGCATTTTTAAAAACTTTTGAACATAATTGAATTTCTGCGAGGAATTTTATTACTTTTGAAAATAATTTAATTTCTGCGAGGAATTTTATTATTTTTGAAAATAATTGAATTTCTGCGAAGAATTTTATTAACTTTTGAAAATAAATTGAATTTCTGCAATCATTTGTAACTTTTTTCTAAATTCAATTTTTTCCAGTACTTTAATAAAAATCCTTCACTTTTCCCTGATTTCCCTGACCTATGACAACCCTGGAAATGTTAAAATATTTTTAAAATAAAAAACTTTGAAAATTTTCATGGAAACTCCACGGAAATTTAAATGGAGAAGTTCCATGGAATTTCCAGTGGGTACTTTCATGGAATTTTTCGACGTGGGTCATTTCTTTTTTTTTTATTGTTTTTATTAATAAAGGATTAATAGCTTTTTATCTTGCTGTATATATAGAGTCAAAGGTCAAATTCCTGTAAAAGAAAAGCTCTTTATTTGAAGGCAGGGATTAGACAGACTACGATAAATCACAATCAAGAGGCTTGCCGTTGAGGCTGGTTGTAAATAAGCTTCAAGGATCCGGAAATACAGGAAAAAAACATTTTTCAAAGATATCGAGATATTTTATTCCCTTTGATAAAGAAATCACAGACATTCTTCTATTAATAAAAATTTTTGTCGTACATTTTTATTAGGAAAAATTTCTTTTTTTTTTGCTAATTTCTCTTTTTTATCGTATATTTTTATTAGGAAAAAATTTCCTTTTTGCTGATTTCTTTTTTTTTGTCGTACATTTTTATTAGGAAAAAATTTCTTTTTTTTTTGTCGTACATTTTTATTAGAAAAACATTTATTTTTTTGCTACTAAAAATGTACTAAAAAAAATCAATTTTTCTCTATTTTTACTCTTGAAATTTGCCAATTTTTCTTTGAAAGGAAATTTTCTATATAAAATCTTTAAAAAAAAAAAAAATTTTAACTTGAGACGTGTGGAAGATAACGAAGTACTTAAAGCTCAAGCTATTTATAGTAAACTGACGGGAGAAACTTTTTCAGTAGTAAAAACATAATATGCTCAGACACAAGAAATGAGAGGCTTTCGCAGTTTTATGAATTCTCTTCGCTTTTATCGTTTACATCGAAACAGTTATTCTTTTTCTTCTTTTTCTTATTAATTATTCCTGTCCATTGCCAGATTACATTTACAAATAAAAAAATCATGCTTACTTTTCTGCGTAATCTCAAGTTACTCGGCGGAAAAATCGTTGATTTTAATTACACTCGGCTTGGATATCGGTTGCAATTTTTATAAAAAGAAATAAAAAAAAAATTCTAAGATGCTTCGAGATTTTAATGGAAAAATATTGAAATAATTTTCTCTATTTTTCCATAATATTGAATTACAAACAATTTGGAATTAATTGAATGGAATAAATTAAATTTATAGCAAAGAAAAATACTATTTTTGGAACAATTAAAAAAGTATTTACTTTTTAAAAAGTAAATTTTGAAAAAATTTTTTTTTTAAATTAAATACTTTTTTAATTGTACCAAAAATATTTGAATTTAATTTTGTTTTTGTATTAAGAATTCTCTATTTTTAAACATATAAGGGTTTTGCTTGGAAACACACAAAAATAGATGTTAACGTGCTTTAAAAAGTTAATTGGAGAAAAATTTTAAAAACAATTCAGCGGAAAAATCTAATAGAAAATTCTCGATATACTTTGAGGTATATAGAATTTTGTCGATATCAGATATCAGATCAAAGTGGAACATAGACCGTGTCAAACTTAACACACCCTGTGTGTGGGCAGGTAGAAGGTTGAAACTGGCGTGTGAACCTGTAGTTGCGCAAGCCTTTGTGGCTATTCAATGTCGATGTGAAAGTCCTCAACCACACAGAACAACCGCAAGGAAGTAAATATTTGTCACAAATTCCTTTCATTATTTCCAATCATTTTATTTTCGTCTTTTTTTATTTTCTTATTATTCCATTTTCTCCTATTTTCAAATCAATATTTATAATGTCTCAATAATTCTTCGAAGAAATATTTTTTTCTGTTTCTGTTTATGTTTCCCATATTATTACAAATTATATGTACTACTGACAAAATCTTTCAATTATCAAAGGCAGAAATATTTTAGGACACCAAAGATTGTGATTATATTCAAAATATAGAAATTTTGGGGATTTAAAATATTTTTACCATTGTTGACTTCGCACTCGATAATTAATTTTAAAAAAGTAGCAAAAAATAGCTTTCAAACTAAACAAAGGTAAAAAAGTAACTATCGAAAAATTAAGCTTGATTTAATTCAAGCGAAGAATTTTATAAAAAATTTTAAATAATTGATTTCTTTCGACTAATTTTATGCAAATTGTAATTTTAATAATTGAATTCCTGAGCAATTTTTATTAGAAAAGAATTGAAGTTTTACGGAAATTTTTACAAAAAAATTTTTAAATAATTAAAATTCCAAGAAAAAATTTATAACTTTTAAAAATAATTGAATTCTTATAAATAATTATTTATGAAAATATTTGAATTTCGCAAACAATTTAATTAAAATGCCTCAAAATAATTGAATGTTTGGGAATAATTTTGTTATTTATCTTTAATAATTCAATTCTTCCGAAGAATTATTTATGTAAATAATTGAATTCTTGGGAAGAATTTTATGAAAATCTGAAATAATAATTGAATTGTTTCAAAAAAATTTAATTAATATTGTATTTAAAATAATTGATTTCTTTCAAACAATTTTATTAAAATGTTTAAAAATAATTGAATTCCTGTGAAAAATTCTAAAATTTTTGTAAATAATAATTGAATTCTTCCATAGAATTTAAAAAAGACATTTGTTTAAATAATTGATTTTTTTGTAGAATCGAAATTAAACTTTTAAGAATAATTACTTTATTTGAGCAATTCCTATAAAATTGTAGTAAAAATAATAGAATTATAAAAAAAGAGTAAAACTTCGTCTGACTAAAATTTTCTGTAACTACTTAAATATTTCAAAATTAATTGGATTGTATATAATTTTCATAAATAAATGAACTTCAAAAGGTTTTAATTAAATTTTTTGTAAAATATTAATATTAATAAATCAAACTCTACTGAAATTAGTTTAATTTTTAAAATATATTTAATTAATTATAAAAATAATAAATTCATAGAAGAATTTAAGTTAAAAACACTAAAAAAAATTGAATTTTGAAGAAGTTGCAAATGTTTGCAGAAATTCAATTATTTTCAAAAATTATAAAAGTTTTCGCACAAATTCAATTATGATTAAAATTTTTTTTAAATTCTTATCAAAATTTCAATTATTTATTTATTTCAGTATCAAAGTGCATACAGTTATCTTTATAAATAATATAATTCTTCTCTAAAATTCAATTAGTTATGTAAATAATTGAATTCCTGCGAAGAATTTTATTAAAATCTAATAGAATAATTGAATTTAATAAAAAAATAAAATTGAAATTCTATTTAAAATAATTTTTTTAAAACTTTTATTAAAATATTTGAAAATAATTGAATTCCTGTGAAAAATTCTAATATTTTTGTAAATAATTTAATTCTTCCAAAGAATTAAAAAAAAAATATTTTTTGATATAATTAATTTTTTTGAGGAATCGAAATTAAATTTTTAAGAATAATTACATTTTTTGAGCAATTCCTGTAAAATTTTATTAAAAATAATTGAAATCCTGTGATGAATTTTATTATTTATGAAAATAGTCGAATAGTTGCTAAGAATTTTATTAAAATTTTCAAAAATAACTAAATTTCTGGAAGCAATTTTGTTATTTATGAAAATAATGAAATTATTGCGAAAAATTTCATTAAAATTATCAACAATATTTAAATTTATTAAAATATTTGAAAATAATTGAATTCTTGTGAAAAATTCTTATATTTTTTCAAAATAATTGAATTCCTGTGAAAAATTCTTATATTTTTTGTAAATAATTGAATTCTTCCAAAGAATTTGAAAAAAATATTTTAAATAATTGATTATTTTCAGGAATCGAAATTAAATTTTTAAGAATAATTACATTTTTGAGTAATTCCTGTAAATTTGAATTAAAAATAATTGAAATCCTTCGATGAGTTTTATTATTTATGAAAAGAATTGAACAGTTGCAAAGAATTTTATTATAATTTTCAAATAGAATTGAATTCATGAGAAGAATTTTATTATTTGTGAAAATAATTGAATTATTGCGATGAAACTTATAAAAAATTGTAAATAATTGAATTTCTGTGAAAAATTTTGTTATTTATGAAAATAATTGAATTGTTCGTCAAAATTTTACAAACATTGTTTTAAATAATTAATTTTTTCAAAATATAATAAATATTATGAAAATTTTATTTTGAATAATTGAATTCTTGCGTGGAAAACTTTGTTTTTGAAAATAATTGAATTTTTCGATTTATTAATTTAAAACAATATTAAAAATAATTGAAATTCTTCGACGAGTTTCATTATTTATAAAAATAATAATTGAATTCTTGATTTTTTTAACAAATTTTTTTTTTAAAAAATTGAATTTCGATGAAAAATGTTATTATTAGTAAAAGTAATTGAATTATTCTGAAGAATTGTATAAAAATTTTGTTAAATAATTGATTAATTTCATTTTTTAGAAATTTTTTTGAAAATGCTATTCTAAATTAATTGAATTCATGTGGAAATTTTATTATTTATGAAAATAATTGAATTTTGGATGAATTTTATCAATTTCTTTTTAAATTGAATTCTTTTTGCGAAATTTTATTATTTTATTTTTTGTCCACAATTTTGACCATAGTTAAAGTATATAAATCAGGTTTTTTTATATTTTTCTTATTAGCCATGGTTCGATAGATATGAACCATGTTTAAAATACATAAATTTTTTTGTTTTTTAAATTCGAAAACAAGGTGAAGAAAGAATGTCTTTTTGGTTTCAGGTCTGAGGATACGTTTAGCCAATCTTTTTTTCAAACTACTAACATGCTTCCTGTACATTTTTCGTGTTGTCACCGACAACGATCCAACGTTCGCCGCATGGTGAGTAGTATTAATTGAAAAAAAAATCAAAATTTACTATTTCCCAGTTTATAATGTAATTTTCGAGTTAATAAAACCGAGAAAAAAAAATCTTAAGGAAAATGGGAATTTATAAAATGAAGTGTATAGTTGGTCGGGGAAAAAAATAGTAGATATGAGGCTAATCATCGTTATACATTGTCAAGGAAAAGAAAGTGAGATTTGACAGGAGGCAATTTGTTTTTATGGCAAAACGCCAGGGAGAAAAGACGCCAATATTGCTTCAACGATGTGAAGCGTTTTTTAGCTTCAAATATCCTTGACTGTGTTCCTTCTTGCATTTTTTTTCTTTTCTTCTTTTTTTTTTGTTTGCTTCTTACAGTTACGGCTGCACTGCCGGCAACAAGAGCGAGTTCCTTGTGTCGAGACATCTCACAGGAGAAGAGTTCCAAGACAATCCAACCATCAACTGGGACGCAATCCTGTGGGTGAGGAGACCCCTGGAATTGTGGATCGTTCAAGTGATTCTGGCGATAATATCACTGACAGAGACGTTGTTACTCGCTTATCTGGGATACAAGGTAAGTTTATTTATCTTTCGGTTACGGTTTATATTCTTCCTAACAAGTCTCGAATTAACTTTTTTTCCTTCCTTCTTCTCCTTGTAATATCTTATCCAAAATATGACAATTTGCCACCAAAATGCAATAGGAACAAAATTACGTTTTTTGGGAAAATTGTAGAATAACCTTAATAGCTAAAAATAGCTAAATATTCTAAATATCTTTGTGAAAAATTATTAAATCATAATTTTATTTATTTTTTATTCATTATTTTTTTACTTCAGCTGCATTTCATGGTTCGTATCGTTTCGTGCGCATTCGTGACGCGCCGAATTTTCACGACTCCGTCCGAAGAGTAACGAACTCACACGATCGAAATAAACAATCGCCATTTGCAATGTAATCTGTTGCACTTTGATTTTTTTAAAGAAAAAGAAATAAATTCTTATCCCAGATGAAAAAGTTTTATAGAATTTCACTAAAATCGTTCTATATGAATTCTAGTAAATACTATACAGAATTTCACTAGAATTATTCTTTAGAATAAATAGAATTTTTACATGAATTCTACTAAATTTTAGTGATTTTTATTAAAAAGAATTTAAATTCGTTAAATAGTATTTTTCAACTTTATATTATTGTGTAATTAAATTTTACATTTGATTTCTATGACAAATAAATAATTTATTAAAAAAATGAATTCTCATAAAGAATTTTATCATAACAAATTTTTAAATAATTGAATTCTTTTGACAAATTTTAACAAAAATTTTTATGAATAATTAATTGAATTCCTATGAAAAATTTTATTATTTATAAATATAATTCAAGTTTTGACAAGAATTTTTTTCAATTTTTCAACGTAATTCAATTTTTCCGAAGAATTTTCTTACTTTTGAAAATAATTGAATTTCTGCAATCATTTGTAATTTCTTCAAAATTCAATTTCTTTAGTGTTTTTAACTAAAATTCTTCTATAAATTTATTATTTTTAATAATTAAATATGTATTAAAAAATTCAACTAATTTCAAAAGAATTATAATTGAAAATGTTCAATAAAATTAGTTTTACAGAATTTTCAATTAAGAAGAATGAAAAATATAGATATTTTAAGATTTGGATTTGAAACCTTTTCAAAATTAAATTATTTCTAAAAATTCATTATATAATGCTTTTAATATTCAATTATTATCTAAAATTTTAATTAAAATTTATTTTTAAATCAATTTTCATTAGAAAATTGTACTAGAATTCAATTATTTAAATACAAAAATAAATAATTAATTGAACAATTGAATGTTGCTTAAAATTCATTTCTCATAAAAAATTGTATAATCATATTTTTAAATAATTGAATTCTTTTGACGATTTTTAATAAAATGTTTTGCAGAAATTCAATTATTTTCAAAAAAATTTCTAAAAACCCTCGTTGAGATTTCAATTATTTTTTACAAGTAGTAGCAAAATTTTTCTACAAAATTTAATTATTTTCAGGAATTTTAATTAAATTCTTTTCATAATTCAATTATTTTTATTAATAAAAATATTTATCTCAAAAATTCAATTATTTTCAAAAATTTTAATAAAATTCTTGGGAAAATTTCAATTATAATATTTTCAAAAATTTTCCTTAATTTAATGATTTTTAGTATATTTATTATTTTAATAAAATTTTCCAAAAGAATTCAATTATTTAAAAAAAATGTAATAAAATTCTGCGCAAACAATTAATTTTTTTTATAAAATAATAAAAATTTCACAAAAATTTCATTATTTACAAATTTTTTATAAATTTATTTGCAATATAATTAAATTATTTTTTATAAATAGTAAAATTTTTTACAGGAATTCAATTATTTTCGAAAATAGTAAAACTCATCGCAAAATTTCAATTATTTATAATACAATCTTAATCAAATTCCTCGATAAATGTAATTTTTATTAAAAATTTTGTTAAAATTCGTCAAACTAATTAAAAATTACTAAAATTTAGTGGAATTCATGTAGAAATTCTATAGAATCGTTTTAGTAAAATTCTATAGAATACTCACTAGAATTCATATAGAATGATTCTAATGAAATTCTATAGAACTTTTTTAGCTAGGATCAGAGAATTCGTAATTTAAAAAAGTTTATTAGAACTTTGATTATATATTGGAATACTATTTTCGGTCAACAATCTCAAAGAACTGAAACTAAAGTCCTTGAAACGTTTATTTGAGAGAAATTTGAGATTACGCCTCGTGAAAAAGTCTCTGAATTGCGGACGACTGGAAAATAAATACAGAAGATATCGTCTTGCATTTCGCGATTTCTTTCCTTGAGTTAGGTTCCTGTCTTCCTCTGTCTTCCTTTTGGAAGGAAAACTTTCGACAAATATGTTTACACGGGGGAGTACATTGGAAATCTTTTCTCGCGGACACTCTAGAGATATACGAATGTTCTAAAAATCTCTTCTCTCCAACTCGCTTTCTTTAAATCATATATATATGAACTTTTTTTTTCTTTACTTTTCTATTTACTTTTCTCAATCTCCATATTTTCTTCACTAAAATATCCTTTTATTTCTTTTATTTATAAAATTGTCATATTTTTAAAATAAACACAATTTTTTTTTTTGTCTCATCTCTCAAAAAGGAATTAAACACAAATTTTTTTATTTTTTAAAAAAAATTTGTGGAAAAACATGTTTTTATAAGTTTTGTGTATAAAAAGAGCTCTCGAAGCCGATAAAGCAAAACTGCAAAAGGATTTCTGTATAAACTTCAAGCGGAAGAATTTATCTGGAAAATATTTGGAGGCCTCAATTGCCAGTATTTTTTCTATTTTTAAGTCAACAAATAGAGAAATATAGTAAATATAAGAAAAAAAAATTTTTTTTGATTGATAAAAAAAGTTTCTTTGATCGTATTTTTGAAATTGGAAAAAATTTCAATTTTTCAAAGTATTCATTTATATTAATGTCAGTGCTGCAGATACGCGACAATCAACTAAAGGAGCATTAGTGTCGCAAATTGTAACAAATTTTCACTAAAAAAGAAAAAACCACTCGTTTTCAGAAACTTTTCATCTTCGTCCTGTCACTTACACTTGATTTATTGTCATATGCTCTTATCTCAAAAAAACCCTATTCATTTTTTTTCCTTTACACTCAAATGTTTCATTTTTGAATTTTTAATAAACGTTCTTATTTTTTTTAGTATGAAAAAAATTTCACTTTAATTTTGCTACAACATAATCTACACAATATTTTCAAAATTATTTATTTTCCTCTTAATTCGAAGTAAATTATCCAAACACAAATCCTTTTTTGAATAATGGAAAAAAATGTCACTTTTAAAATTAGAATTGTGAATTGTATGCTTTCAAGTGACTAACGTCATAAAATCGCGAAGGTATTAATAACGATAACGAAAAAAAAAACCTGGAGCTTGAAATAATCCGTTTATCTTTCTGCAGTCTCCTCTGATCCTTCTATTTGCGAACGGAAAATTTTCCTTTTCTTTGATTAGACGTGTGTGAATTTTTTTTTTGTCTAGTGGGGGTAGATTTTTACTGAAAAATGCTGCCTCTGAGGCACAATGGTTTCTCATATTTTTTAGTATATGGAATGGCACGTGCAAATTCTCCTTTCGTCAGCATTCCTTTAGGCGACAGATTTCAAGAATGGAAAAAACGAAAACTTTCTTTTATTCCATACAGAACATGAATTTGGCCTCGAGCGCACAACTTCAAGGATGTTTTTCTAAAAAAAAAAATACACATATAACGTGGTTTTGCAGAATCTACTCTTAAAACACTCTTTTAAAAGCCCTTTCTCATTTTATTGTTATGTAAATGATAAAGAAATTATTTTCAACAAACATATGCAATTTTGTTGTTAAAACTCACATTCATTTGCTAAAGTCGTTAAAGCACATGTAAATATGGAGGTTTTTGCATATGCAAATATTAGACAGTGGAAAATGTGCAATATAAAAAATAATTGTAAAATGAGGTCAAAATTGTGGAAATATTTTTTTTATAATCCCTTCTTAAGAAGCATAATTATTCATCATAAAAATTAAAAATAAATATACAAAAGGAAATGTTAATGTTTTTTTAGGTTTCATTATTATTATTTACTATTTCTCAATTTTTAACATAGAAAATATATTTAATATTATTATCCTTTTTGTACAATTCTTCAAAGTTTGAGACACGCAATGCTTCTTCAGTGATCGAACATATTTGCTGAGAAACTTTTCTCATTTTAAATGTTGACTGTATTTCAACAAAGGAATCTAAAAAGTTCATTTTCTATATAGAATTTCAGGTTTGTAATAAAAAATTCCGAACTTTATGAATAAATTAAATGATAACTTAAAAAAGAATATTTTCAATTTTTTTTAATGAAATTAAACAAACAACTGTTGAAACTTACACAAAGATATATTATTTATTTAAAAAATAATTCTATTAGAAAGTTAACTGATAAATAAAATATAATAATCGATTTGAAATAAAGAGAAAATGACGGAAATTTTTAATTAAAACGTTTGGAAATTCAAGTTCCAACAAAAGTTGAATTGAACTTACATAAAATATTCCGAATGGCATTTTCTTATTAAAAGAGTTTATTAAAATTGTTCCAATTTCGTTACATTTCAATTAATAAAACCTTTTGAGGCATCGAGATTAATATTTTCACTTGAATATAATAAAGTCTGTCACTTTAATCAATAAATTTTTTTCGTATTTCCACTTTGTGAATTTTTGTAAATATTATTTATCAGATTTATTTAAATTCAAATCTGTCACAATATTTCATTCTCGAAGAAAAGAAAGTAATGAGAGAAATTTATAAAACTTATTAAATGTATTATTAAATGCAAATGTATTAAAAACATTATTAAATTATTAAAAAAGAAAATTTCGTTAGATTTTAATGTTAAGTTTAGAATATTATTTCGAATAATTTCGACAGTGACTTCAAAGCAGAAGATTCTTCATTAAAATTTAATGAATGAAGAGATGACATTTTCCTAAGTCGCAATCAAGATATGCATCGCAAAACAGAGTCAATGTAAAGATGCAAACGGATGTAAATCTTGAAATTCACATTCACATTATTCAGATCAATCGTGAGATTGAAACTATTCGACAAGATTTTATTGGCTACTGTGAGAACAAAAAGAAGAAAAAACGAGTCCAAATGGAATTTTAACAGATAGAAGTTTTAAAATGCAAAAAATGCGAATAACTACGGTTTTCATTTAAATACAGGATTAATTTATTTTTCTAAGAAATTAATTAAAAAGAGAAAAGAAAAAATTTTAGAAAAATATAAAAAGTAATTTTGTTTTCCGAGTATTTAATTTCCGTGAAAGTAAATAGTGTATATATGATTCAAGAGACGAAATAAAGATAAAGCCAGTAGGAACTAAAAGAATATTAAAAAGGGGATTTTTTTTTTGGAAAAAAAGAATTTTATACTTACTTCACTAGACAGCTTTCTAGTGAAGCACGAAAAACAATTTTATTTTCTTTTTCCTCATGTAGAAACAATAATTTTATTTATTCTCAACAAAATCAGAAACAATTCTCATTTGTATTTTTAAAATAAACAATTTCAATTTAATTCAACTTCAAATTTTTTTTATCTTACAAAAAAGAAACAGATTTTATTGTTGAATAAATCTTATTTTCAACTTCACGTATGTCAAACTGTCTTTTTTAATGTCCACAGGGGAACATCTGGCAGCAACTTCTGTCTTTCCATTTCATTCTGGAATTAGTCACAACGATTCCTTTTACGGTTACAGTGAGTAAACTAATTTTAATTTCAAATATGAAACACTTAAAATTGTAAGTAAAATGTGTAAATATAAAAAACAATTTTCTTTCAAGTAAAAATAATTTATTCAGAAATATAATTAGTTTCATTCAGTTATTTATTTAATAATAAAAAATTGAGAAATAAACTTACTACCGTAAATCTTGATTAACTGCTAATAATTCTCTGCTCGAATTATAAACTTTCTTCTTCAACTTTTCAAAGATGCGTGGAGAAAAAAAATTTTTTTTTCCTTATTTATCTCGCCCTTTGAAAAACTGACTTTGATAATCAAACAATCTTCTTATAGAGGGCAAGAAAAAGAGTTTTCTTGTATTTGCAATCCAAGCAAGTTTGAAAAGTTAATACAATCTTCAGCGAAAGGAATCCTTCTATTATTCAACAAAGTGTGTCGGTAAAAACTTTTTAAAAGGTGAAACAACATTTTCAATATCGCAACAAACCTGGTCTTTAGTTTTGAAGCTTGTTAAACAAAATTGAATAGAACGATAAAGTTCAAAGCAAACGTATAATTTTTCGGACATTACTGCCAAGGGTTTTTTTGTTTTTGTTTCCAATTAATGTGTTTGGAATTTTTTGTGGTGCTTTTTTGTTTTCTCGAAATTGGTTTAGACTGACTCTTCCTGACAACTTATCTGTAAGGGATCTGGTGTATTTTTGTTTTCATTTACAATGGTTTAGACTTACTCTTCCTGACAACTTACCTGTAAGGGATCTATTGCTTTTTTGTTTTCATTCACATTGGTTTAGACTTACTCTTCCTGACAACTTTTTTGTAAGGGATCTGGGGCTTTTTTGTTTTCATTCACATTGGTTTAGACTTACTCTTCATGACAACTTTCTTGTAAGGGATCTGGGGCTTTTTTGTTTTCATTCACATTGGTTTAGACTTACTCTTCATGACAACTTTCTTGTAAGGGATCTGGGGCTTTTTTGTTTTCATTCTTATTGGTTTAGACTTACTCTTCCTGACAAACTTATGGGTTTGGAATTAGATGTATCTTTTGGTTCTTTGAAATTGTTTTAATTTTCCTGACAAACTTGAAGAAAAGACATTTTTTTAAGAATTTTTTTTTGGGTCGGTGCAAAGGATGAACGGCAATTTCCATCCAGGGCAATCTAAAACAAAAAGAATCAAAATGCAGTTATTAAAAATGATAATTCTTCCTCTAATGTAAAAAGTAGTAAAAATAATTATAAATACGATCAACTTGTGTTCTTCGCAGAAACAAAGGATCTGAATTAATGTTCCTTGTAACGGAATTTTATTCAAATTGCAGTGATACGGGTTATCGGAATAAAGCATTATTTCATTGAATAAGGGAAAGCAAAGCGATATAATGCATTACGTATACACTGTGTATGTTTATTATCCAAAGTAATTTAATTAGCTTAACCTCATTAGTTTGACAACGCAACTTGGGTAATATGCACGCATAGTCGTAAATCCTGGAAAACTTGATGGCTTTGTTGCGTCGCATAATAAATTAACAGATAGACATTAATGTCAAACGGACTGTAATCAAAAAAGTAAAGTACAAAAAAGAAAAAGAATTTCAAAATATCATGTGTCATAAAAGAGTATGTTTTTGTTTTCTTTTTGCATTAAAAAAAAACATCACCTGAAGGTAGTATTGGATTTTTAACGGCAAAAATCTCTTGTTCTTCTTTTTTTTCGCTGCGGATAGTAAATAACAATATGGTATTCAAAACAAAAACACAGTTTCCACTGAATTTTCGAAGAATTTAGAAAAATTTGAAATACCATCAGTAAATAGGCGAATTGAAATATTTACTATTCGGCCTTTGATGCTCAAAATCAGGCACAATGAGCAAACTTCAACTGGAATGCATTTACGTGAATATTTACCCCGTCAATATCTATACGGTTTACAAGAATTAGACATGCATCGTTTACCATCATATTCCACAGAGGATTTTATCTCCAACGCAAACATTTTATAAGTTTATATAAATACACAATTTATTAATCAATTTTTACTTCCATTAGAGCAACAAGAATTATTCATTTTTGAAAAATGATGTTTCGCCACAGAAGATCAATTTTATTTTCCGAAATGGATAATTTTTTTTGTACTTAGTGGTCATAAAAATATATGAAATATAACCAGGACGTTTATTATATATTATTATAATAAACTATCTATTTGAGAATTGAATTATGAATATAAAAACCTTGTTATAGTTTTTCTCGTGTCCAAGGTTAAAGTTTAGTTGTAATTTATTTTTAACTTTTCGAGTATAAAATCTTCAGGTACAATATGTAAATTATTTATATTTTTTAACAATTGTAGAATTTATAGAAATAGTTATAAATAGTGTTTACAACCTAGAGATCGTAACGAATATAATATTTTCAAGGCTCGTCTTTGCATTATTTTCAAGTCGTATACAAAATTATATGTATAAATACTATAACCAGAATCAAGTTTATTTATAGAAAGTCGCAATCTATTTGTAGCAAAGAAATTAATAACTGTCTCTATTTTACAAAGTAAAATAAATTTTGTTTCAATTTTCATAAATTTTAGATTATTTTATTTTTAATCGAAGTTAACGTAACGAAAAAGTAAGACAGAATTTTGAAATATGGAACATTTTTTAATTTTCAGTTGCTGTACCCCCCAATGAGAAATCTCTTTATACCAGTATTTCTGAATTGTTGGCTGGCGAAACATTCGTTGGAAAATATGTTCGTAAGTAAACAAAAATAATTTTTTTTTCAAATATTTTTTATTGGAAATTTTCTTTATCTTTACTTTTTTTACTTAGAACGATTTGCACCGAGCGATGCAAAAATCTCAATCAGCTCTCAGTCAACAGCTAATGATTCTTAGCGCTACGCTATTGTGCCTTGTTTTCACCAGGTAAGTGCTAATTTCTCATCTCAAAATAATTTAAAATCCGTTGGATTGAAATTTTCACGCTTTCAACAATTTTCTTCTCGATGAAATTTATATCAAAAACCAATTTTGAATCTTACGGAAAAGAAATTAACATCACCCAGTTTTTAAGAGGGACAAATTATATAATTTCTGGATTAAGGGGTTATAATATAAAAAATATTAGAAGAAAATAGAATAGGGAAAAAAATTGTTACATATTTATTTGTAACAGTTGTAAAAATACTTTCTTTTGTAAACCTTCTTTTCTTCTTCACAAACAAAAATCCGTGATGTATTAAAGGGAAAATTTCTCTTTTAATTTTCAAACGGAATACACGTATATATATTTTTTAATTTCCCCAGTATACGTTTATTATTTTTAATCGCCAGCATTGCGTACATATGTAATAATTAAAAAGTGATATTTTCTTTTAGTTTCACATTCAAGTGAAACTAGTTTATTGTGTGAATTCCAGAATGCGGCACCCTGAAGTTATAGTTGGTGCATGGTTGTTACACATTTATGTTCGTTGTTTCGACAAAAGCTCTCTGTTGGGGTCGAGCAAACGTTTAAGCACAAGCTTCAACTGCCGAATAGATTGTATATCTGCGACTCACGGCACCAGAATGCACAATATTGCATTCAACGACAAACTTTCGAATAAATGCCCAACGTTGTTGAAAGTTTATATTTGTCTGACCAGCAGGTGAAAGCGATCAATATCTATTTCATGTTATTGCTATATTTACCATATGTGACCATCCTTCAATTGTCGAACAGATTCATACCCATGTCTCTTTATGTCTTAGAATTCAAGACCTTTGGGAAATTTAAATAATTTTATGTCGAGAATGTTGTAGCAATGTATTTTTGCAACAAGGTTACTTAGATCGTTGGTTACTTCGAATCCGGGTCCTTTGTTTGTAAGTTTGCTCCCTAATGTTGTACTCCTAACAATTTTATTGCTTTATAAAAATTTACTTTAAGACCAATTATTTTGTGTGACGAAGAGAAAAAGTTAATTTTCGAAATGTCAGGAAGTTTCTTTTCTGAGAGCTTTAAAAAATTGATAAGATATTGGTTTAAGAGTATCCATGCAAGTTCATTTTCTGAAATGATAATTTATAAGCAGTTTATAGCGAGTACCACTTTGGTTCTTGTCTCACATATCCGTAATTTATATACCAAACCTTTTTTAACATCGTTTCTTTAAGTGATCTCTTATATACGATATACGTATAAATTTCAATCCTCAACAACAATTCATTCTTGTTTAAAGAAAATCGTAATTTTCTCCTATATTTCTTTCTTTCAATTTTTCCATATACTAGATTTCAATTTCACGCGAGTGATTTAAGAAAATATCAGTTATATTCCACATATATCCTCACTTGAAAAAAATTCCCCTCGAAAAAAATAAACTAATTTAACAAAAGGTTAACAAAAGTCTTAGAAAGCATTAAAATATTAAATTCTTTCATCTCGAAAGGATACGTCCAATTATAAAAGGTTAGCAAAGATTTGATTTAATATATTCTGAGGAGGCTTTCTAAGGATTTCTACTATTACTGGGAAGGTGAACTTTTTTTGAATTGAAAATAAAATCTGCATCTTTCCAATTGAAAGTCAGTCACCGTGAAGTGAACTCAAGGGGCTTGGTTCCGTCGATGTTTGTATATATTTTCCCTGAATGATACTGATTTTAAAATGTTGAACTCAGTCAGTGTAACATTCAAATATAAAGAGACAAAATTTCGAAAACTCTTTGCTTATTAATGCAGATCAAAGGTTGACTTTAAACTCAATCCACTTCAGTGACAACATGTTTACTAACATTCATCAGTTAATGAATAAACTCATTAAAACCGGAGTATAATATCAAATTTTATGTTTAATCAGAAAAGAGATAATTGACTATTCTCGGACCCAAACGTTAACGTTTTAGAAACAGCTTTGCAAATAGAAGTTGGATTTCCATTAAAATTTCTTGATTATTTCTCTACTAAAGCAAAACAAGAATATATAATAAAAAACAAATATGAAAAGAAATACAACAAAAAATCCAAGTTAAAAATTAATTTACCTCTGACCCATATAGTCACTTAAAGAGCAAAATCAATGTATAAATATTAAATAATGACATTAATATAAAGGCATCCCGACTCGTATTTGAACTATTTTTATACGAGTTCATTGCACAAGTTATATAAACTTGAGTATCTCGTTTATATTGGTAATCGCGCAACTACATACTATTATATATTTCATGATTACTTTTATGATAATCATAAATCCCTTTTCTTCCTTTACGATTTCTTATATTTTCTCTGGCAAAACTTAATTAAATTTTTATCAATCGATGTCAGTCTCGAATTTTAATGTAGAAATAAATATTTCTCTACAAAAAAAGAAAATAACGAAAAAAAAAATTTGCAGAAGAATATCATTTCAAAACACTATTTGAATAAATAAAAACAAAGTGAGAAAAAATAATCGAATTTCGTTCTAGCCACGTTATAAATTTTTAAATAACGACAATTCACAGAAGAACGAAACAAGTATAGAAGAGAAAATATCCCAATTGTGTAATATTCCCTCTCATATGGAATTATAAAATGTAATAATCTCTCATAATCTTTAATAGACAAATTGTTTCCCTTTCTATCCAAATTCAGAGAAAATTTTTTAAATGCTTATATTTATTTTTCAAAAATTTGAAATAATAACATGTAAAATTTTCTTTTATAACTTTCGAGGGTCAGTTTATAATTTTAATTCATCCATAGAGTCGTTTTGTAATTTCTCTCATTTCCAATTAGAAGGTAAAATTTTAAAATGTCAGACACGTTTGAAGTATTCCCGTCTGTAATTTATTTTATACGCGACATATTCTCTTGAGAAATTCTAATATTGTTACCATTTTTTTTTTGTTTTCATTTTTTAAATTAATTCTAAGTGTACATTTTGAAGAAATAAATATAAATTTCATAATATTTAAACAAATTTAGTTTTAAAAAAAATTTCAAAGAATTAGATTTAAAAATAAGAAAGAAAAGAAATCAGAGTCGTTTGACTATTATAAAATGAGAATTTTCCGGAAGAAAAATAAAGCAATAAGGGTCTTTATGGTTAAAATGGTCACGCATAATGGTCAATGGTTGTGGAGAAGTGAAAGGGTAGAATTTCGCTGTAAAAAGTAATCTCGTGCAAAGGAAGGAAAACTCAACCCCACGTTTATGGAGCTTATGCCGCAAAACAACGCTGTTAACGAAGGTCCTGACGTAAAAACATCCAGACACACATACAAAGCGACATAGAAAAGTATAACGACCTGAGAGTCTCACGTAAATCCAGAATTAACGCGTTTACACCTTAACCCATTCGCACATTTCCGCTTTTTTTACGCGAAAAGAAAAATAAGAGAAAAAGCATCTCTATTAATAAATCTGTCATACAACACTTGACTGACATTTCCGAACACAAAAAACCACGTACCATGGGGATAACAAAAATTTATTTTCAAACCCCAATGACTCTAGAACGTATTTTTGTGAAAATTATATCAAAAAGAGATATTTTTACTTACTTAATTAGAATATATTATTAGAAAATACTAATAATGAAAGATTAGGAAAGAAACATATAAATAGAACATTGTCGACAACCACTCGCGAGGAACGTCAAAACGAGAATGAGATTAAATGGCCAATTCTTCAAGCGCATTAGCAACCGTCGGTAAAACAGGCGCGCAGAAAACCGCCAAAATTTGAATTCTTATTTCTGTTAATAAACATAATTTCGTAATATTATTTATAGAAAATAATATTTCGTAAAATCCAAAAGAAGAAAAAACGTTTGTCACTAAAAAGAATTGTAAAATAGAAAAAGCGGATAAAATTTTTAAAAAAAACTTAATTTTCTTGTGAAGCAGATTTTGTTACAGAAAAAAATTGTCAAATGAAATATTCGATATTTTTTTCTCCGAGTTTCGAGAGAATAAAATTGGTAAGAATTTTAAATCCCTCAGCGTCAACGTTGTCTCACGAGCGTAAACTCTGTCACGTACAATTTCACTCTCAAACCGGCCACCTATGCAAATCCGACATTTACTAGTCGTTTTAATTAATGCTGCCTTGTTATAGTCTACTGCGCTCTCCTCTATCTCACTTTTAGAATAAGTAAATACACAGAAAATGTGCAAAGAATAGGAAAAAAAAGGTGGCTAGTGTAAAAAAAATTATTTCCCTCCCTTTTCTTAAAAAAGGAGGGAAATAATTTTTTTCCACTTTTTTTTAATAAAGAATGGTGTACAAATAGCGTTGATATAAAATGGGGCCACATGCATAATGGATGTAACTTTTAAATTCTTGCCGTGCCGCCATAGTCCCACGTCTGCTTTCTTTCTGACGAAAATCCATCCACCATTAATCAAAAATATACCTCCGTTTGCTTATCAAAAAATTTTTTCTTTTTGCATTCATGTAGCAGTTTAACGTGTGCATTTATTTTACTGTATAAATTTATTCTGTATATTAATACAAGAAACTTATTTTCTACTCTTTCGTATTCTTTAATCCTTTTTTCACTTTCTTTTCTATTTATTTTATATTTTGTTTTTTTTCTTATATTCATTTTTTTCTATTTCCTTTTCTTTTCTTATTCCCTTTTTATATTCTCAACCGTTTACTTTTCATTTGCAATAAAAAAAAAATTCGTAATTATTTTTGATTTATTACAAATCAATATTATTTCTGCCTCGTGAATATATTTTTAGTGCGTATGTAATATAGCAAATTTTCTCTACTCTATAAACTTTAATCATATATAGTCTTGACTTTCAAAGAGGCACTCAGTTATCATCCACCTTATATAATTGTCCCTAAAAATATTTCAGTCCATTAGAGCTTTTACCATAATTAGGATAATAGACTTTAACAAGAAACTACTAAGTTGATTAAGCATAAAATTTCATATGCATAAATTCATGACCTTTTTTTAGAATTATATATCACTTTTTCTCAGCCTTTTAACAAAAGAGTAGAAAAAAAATTATTTCCCCTAGTAAAATAATTAGAATTCACATTTTTGGAAAACAAAATTTAGGTTTATTCTTCAATTCATTTTTTTGTTTTTTCATTTTCATTTCTTTAATTTTATTCTTTCTTTTTATTATTATTCAAAATTCAAATTATTCAAAATTCAAAAAAAAAAAAAAATGAAAACATTCCTAGTAAATAAAAATTAGTTCATAAATAAAAAGAGGAAAATATTTTTGTTGCAGCGTCTGTGGAATACAACATTTTCAGAGGGCAGGACACAGACACCTAAACCTCTTTCAAAGCACATATTATGTCGTTGTAACGTTTTCCACAGTCGGATACGGAGATTTCGTGCCTGACATTTGGCCTTCTCAACTCTATATGGTCATTATGATCTGCGTAGCGCTTATAGTTCTACCAACACAAGTGAGTGATGAAAATTAATTATTTTTATTATTTATTAATTAATTTTCCACTAAAAATTTTCGATATTTTTAATTTGTACGATCACTTTTTAATTGAAATTAATAATTCTATAAATTTTCTAATCATTAAGTTTAGAATGGCCGATTTCGAATTTGGTCTCAGATTTTTGAAATTCAAAATGGCGGATCCAATATGGCGATCAAAATTTTAAAAATTTGACAGATTTACTTAAAAGTCGTTGATTTTTGCAAATCCGAAGGTTTTACAACTGCTAAAGTGAAAATTCATGTGGATTTAAAAATTCAAAATGGTGGATTCAATATGGCGGTCGAATGTGATGGAAAATTTAAAAATTAACGCGTTTAGACCAAAATGCCTAACTCGGGGGTTTTTGACATCACTGAATCCAAATTTTTTGATAGATTTTAGAAATTCAAAATGGCCGATCCAATATGGCGACGAAACATTAATGTGCTTTTTTAGTTGCATTTATTTTATTGCTTTCATAATATTAATAAAAATTATTTTATTGCTTTCATAATGATATTAATAAAAATTATTTTATCGCTTTCATAATATTAATATTAATAAAAATTATTTTATCGCTTTCATAATATTAAATATTAATGAAAATTGTCTCCTTCGTCTATTATTTTATGTGAATCATATATTTGTTGTTTCTCGTCGTATCGACGCTTCACAACATCTACTAATTCTAAAGATACAATAAATTTTCCCAGTGGATTACTTTCCTGTATGCGTCATACAATTTGAGCTCTGATGATAGCAGCATTGTTGTTTTATAGATTTTTTATGATGTCACTCGTAAGACTACAAAAGTGTCCCCTCGTTCCATCTATTTTGCTGAAAGGTGAACGATTTTGCAGTTACATATAAAACCACTCTTCTTTCGGATATTATTTTTAAATATGAAAATTCTTTCTCTAATGTGAAAACTTTTTTTTATACCAAATTATAATTTTTTGAATTTATGTTAAATATTTCTCAACTGAGGAAAAAAAAATAATCGAGACATTTTTTTTGGATATATATATTTGCAAAGATTAATGATCTGATTGATGTTGATTTTGACCCTTATCTGATGAGTGCACTTGCGTGGGTTGAGAATTCGAGAACTGTCAACTTTGACAGATAATATTAGGCTCGATGGTTGTCAGTTCAATTTGGCTGTCAAATCACATACCACTTGTCAGACGCTTGAAATGACTAGGAAGGTTTGCCACTGGCATTGTTACCTGATAAATCATGCATGTGATACTTCAACCCTTCACACTGCTCCAAAAGTAAAATTTAAATTTACAAAATTAATAAACTTTATATTCAAATTATTTTCCCACATTCACTGAAAATTTAAAATATTTTTATGTTTTTAATTATCTTTTAACATAATTCATTTTTATAATTCATTTCATTTTTTTTTTTTTTTTTTGCGTTATAATTAAAAGAATACGTATTTTTTATTTTAAATTTATATTTGTAAATTCTATCGACATTATACGTTATTGTAAGTTTACAGATTTATGCAAAAATTGTGAAATTATTTCAACAAATATTCATTGTATTTTTAATTAACAAAATGATACCTACTCTTTTTTAATTTTCAATTTAATCTTTTTTTAATTAAAAAAAGTTAACTTTTTATTTTTGTAAACGTTATTTTTTTGTATTTTTATAATTTGTAAATAACAAACATTTTTTAAATTTAAATTTGATTTTGATTTATTATTTTTTTCAAATTTTTTCATTTCAAAAATATTCTCTTTTTTCCATCATCTTCGAAAAATCGAAAAAAAATCTCTTTATAAATATTATAATGGAAGGAAAAACTATTTCAAAATTATTTTTTTCACTAAAAAATGATAATGTAAGTGTATAAATTATAAAATTGTTTTGGAGGAATATATTTTTCCTCGTCCAGGGAAAAAGAAGGAATCACTTTGACATTAAAATTCTCATTTTGCTGAAGCACTTTTACAGATTTGAATGAAACAATATTAAGGAATACGTAATGAGAGTAGGTATTTCATGGTTCATGAAATTCATCGTAATCTCATTGCAGTTTGAGCAGTTGGCCTTCACTTGGATGGAGAGACAGAAACTGGGTGGTTCCTATTCGTCCCATAGAGCACAAAACGAAAAGCACGTTGTTGTTTGTAGTACAACCTTACAAGCGGATACCATCATGGACTTTCTTAATGAATTTTACGCTCATCCTTTGCTTCAGGTTAGAAAATTACTGATGTTCAAAATTTTTAATATCCCCTTAAAATCAGGAATTAAAATTTCCCTAAATATTCTTATATGGTAAAGTTTTTAATCGAAAGGTAAATTTTGATTAGATTAAATTTTTACTTAAAGTGAAAGAAAAGTAAAATTTTTAATTTTAATTCAATATTTTAATGATTATTTATCTGTTGGATAAATTAACTTTTGCCCTAATTGCAATAGAGCAATATAACGAAATTAAAATAGATCGTTCAATAAATATGTTGAAACTACAAATTCGCGAAACTTTCCAAAAAGAGCGAAATAATTGACGTAGTTGTAATTAACAAATAATTCTCTCATTCATTATATCAGTTGAAAATACAAATAGTAATCAGTTTTATAGATACAAAAACAATGGAGCAAATCAAAAATATTACTGATTGCTGTAATTCGCGAATTATTTTTACACTATTTTTTGCATTTGCAAATTTTTATTTAAATTCTTTTTTCTTCTTTTCAAAAAAAAAAAAATTTTTTCTAAAAAGGACTACTACGTGGTTCTCTTGTCGCCAATGGAATTGGACACGACGATGAGAATGATTCTTCAAGTGCCGATTTGGGCTCAACGGGTGATCTACATTCAGGGCTCGTGCCTGAAAGATGGTGATCTCGCGAGAGCTAGGATGAATGAGGCTGAGGCCTGTTTTATCCTTGCTGCGCGAAATTATGCGGACAAAGCTGCCGCAGACGAACACACCATCCTCAGGTTAGTTTATATTTCATTCAAAATTTATATCTTGATAAAGAGAATAAATTTTTTAAAAATGAATTTAAATTTAAAAAAGCACTGCAAATGAAAAATTGAAAAAAAAATTAATTTAAATTAAAAAAGCACTTTAAATAAAAAATAAAAATAAAAAAATTGGTAGAAGAGAGATAAAGAAGAAGAAAATAAAAAAAAATTTAAATTAAAAAAATGTAGGTACTGCAAATAAAAAATAAATACGAGTGTTTAACTTTCGAAAAAATACAGGTCCTGGGCCGTGAAAGATTTTGCACCCGATGTACCTCAGTACGTTCAAATCTTCCGTCCAGAGAATAAGCTCCATGTGAAATTTGCCGAACACGTTGTGTGTGAAGACGAATTTAAATATGCCCTTTTGGCGAACAATTGCACGTGTCCTGGAGCATCAACTCTGGTTACTTTATTACTTCACACTTCACGAGGACAGTGAGTTGAAAATTTACAAATTTACCATCCAATTTTAATTTAATTTTCAGTTTTATAATTAAATTATAATCAGTTTTACCACAATTAAAAAAATTCATAGAATTTGATCAAAATTATTGGAAATAATAAAAATATTCTCCCGTTCAGCTCAATTTGTAAATATTTAAAACATTTAATTTTTTTTTAGGAAAAACGTAAAAGTTCTAGAAACATTTTTAGAATTTTTTTTTTTAAATTAAAAAAAAAATTTTCTAAAAAATGAGAGAAAAATAAAAGTAAAGCTGCGATATTGAGAGAAAAGTATATATTTCGTTTAAAATCCGCATCTTTGATTGGTTTATAGGGAGGGTCAACAGTCACAAGAAGAGTGGCACAGGCTTTACGGAAAATGCTCGGGCAACGAGATTTATCATATAATTCTAGGGGATTCACGATTTTTTGGCGAATACGAAGGAAAGTCGTTTACGTACGCCTCGTTTCACAGTCACAGAAAATATGGAGTTGCCTTGGTTGCAGTTAGACCGGCAGAATTGCCAGAATTCTACGAGGACACAATTCTGCTCAATCCTGGTAAGAGATCCGGCTTAAACGATTTTTCCACTAATCTTACTTCATTAAATGCAAAAACGGAATTTTATTTTCTTTTTTTTGTAGAATAAAACCTCCCTTAATAATCTACTTTAGAGAAAAGAAATTGAATCAGAAATTCGCTTTTTCTTCGATTAGTTTAAAATAATACTAGAACCAAAACAGCGCGCGTTGTGCGGTTACTTTAAGTTTAATATAACTTTACTAAATTTCACATTGGTTTTTTTTAAGTTTTAAAGTAAAATAATATAAATAAAAATAAAAAATATTATATTTCTTTACCTAATTTGCATATCTACTCGTTTTTAAATAAGGATCCAAAACCTTTGTCCAGAAATAAAAACTATTTTTAGAAAAGGAAAAACGTTTTTCAAAGAATAAATCGAAATATTGACATATCGGTGAAAAATGTCAACACGAAAAGCTACTTTGGTTTTTGCGGGACATGTTTTATTATTTTATGGATCTGCGTAGATATGATGTTTTGTGGGAAAAAAGACACATTTATCTGAAAGAGTTCCTTTTTTAGAAATAAAAACAAAAAAAAAATGATTTTCTTTTAGGTCCACGACATATCATGAAGAAGACCGACACCTGTTACTACATGAGCATAACGAAAGAGGAGAATTCTGCGTTTGTAGTGGCAAATAATCAAACGACGGGAGCAGAATTCTCGGGTGTGGCTGTTGAAGCAAAGCAGGACGCTTCTTCAACGACAGATGCAAATCCAACAACGTCAACATCTGCAGCGACAACGACAACGACAATGTCGACGACGACTACCACTGGAGGGAATGGTACAGCCTTGAGTAAAGGTGTTGATACGCACCGACGATGTGAAAATAATATTAAAGAAACAACAAACAGGCAGGAGACCTGTAATAATAATATCACTCCCAGGGCAACTTTGCCCCCTGTTATATTGCAGGTCCCCCTTAGCACGTCCACACTCCAACATCACAACTTACTCGCATCCGATGTCCACCGTGAGTGTTGCATGCGCCTTGCTTTTTCTCTTCAATCTTTATTTTTTTTTTCATTATTATTTCATTAATTTTCACTATTTTTTACTCGTAAGGATAGACTGAAAATTAATCGTCATTTTCTTGCTGCAATTTATGATGAAATCGAGAAAATCCCACCGCTGCCACCTGTATATTTACTACTATTTTCATTTAATCTTTCAGCTTTTATTTTACTTTTATTTTTATCGAAACAAATTTTTCTAAATAGTTGAATCCCACCGCTGACACCTGTATTTTTACTTCTATTTTAATTCAATCTTACAGCTTTCATTTTACTTTTATTTTCAGCTCAAAAAATTTTTCTAAATAATTGAATATCCCACCGCTGCCACCTGTATTTTTCTAACTATTTTCATTTAAACTTACAGCTTTTATTTTAACAAATTTTTTTAAATAGTTCAATCCCACCGCTGCCACCTGTAATTTTACTACTATTTTCATTTAATCTTACAGCTTTTATTTTAACAAATTTTTTTAAATAGTTCAATCCCACCGCTGCCACCTGTAATTTTACTACTATTTTCATTTAATCTTACAGCTTTTATTCTGTTTTTATTTTTAATTCAACAAATTTTTCTAAATAGCAGAATAATATTCGAACTGCCGGAATAAAAATTTTTCATTTTAGAATTTATTATCAGTAAAAAATAGTATCAGAAAGAAATACTATTAATCTTTCCAAAATGTCAGCGCCTTGCGCAGAATCGCACGGTTCGTGTCTTATCGTACAGACTCGTGTCGCCACGAATCTTCACGAGTCTGCCCGAGAAGCTACGAATCCGCCCGAGGAATATACTCATCCGCCATGCCATTTGTATTTCAACTTGCAGAGTTTTTACAATTTTCAACATTATTCACCAAAGGAAAAAGAAAAAATTATTCTCTCATTATTTATCCAAAAATTTTAAAACTGAAAATTTAATTCAATTATTTTGGAGAGGTTACAAAAAAAATTGCAGAAATTCAATTATGTTCAAAATTTTTTTTAAATTCTCTTAAAAATTTAATTTAATAAAATTCTTGACAGAATTTCAATTATTTTTAATAATTTTCATCAACTTATTGATTTTCAATATTTACTATTTTAATAAAAATTTTCCAAACGGACTCAAATATTTTTAAAAAATTTTTAATAAAATTCAACTCAAATATTTAATTATTTTCACAAATAATACAAATTTCACAGGAATTCAATTAAACTACAAATCTTTTATAAATTTTTTTTCGCAATAATTCAATTATTCTTAGAAATAATAAAACTCATCGGAGAATTTCAATTATTTTAGAGAAATCACAAATCATTGAAGAAATTCAATTATTTTTAAAGGAATAAAATTCTTCGCAGAAATTGAATTGCGTTCAAAAATTTAAATAAATTCTAATAAAAATTTCAATTATCTTTTGAAATAATAAAGTTCTTCGCAGAAATTCAATTATTTTCCAAAATTTTTCTCCATTAAATGATTTTCAAATTTTTATTAATTTAATAAAATTTTTCAATAGAATTAAATTATTAAAAAAAATTTGATAAAATTCTACGCAATCACTTAATTATTTTTATAAAATAATAAAAATTTCACAGGAATTCAGTTATTTACAAATTTTTAAAAAATGTTTTAGCAAGTATTCAATTATTTTTATAAATATTAAAATTTTTCGCAATAATTCAATTAGATTAATAAATAATATAATTTTTACAGAAACTCAATTATTTTCGTAAATACTAAAATTCCTTTTAGATACTAAATTATTTTCATAAATAATAAAACTCATAGCAGAATTTCAATTTTAATAGAATTTAGTCGAAAAATGTAATTATTCTTAAAAATTTTATTAAAATTCATCCAACGAATTTAATTATTTAAAAAATTTGTTGATAAAATTCTTTATGAGAATTTAATTTTCAGAAACATTCAATTATTCAATAAATTATTTATTTTTATATTTAAATAATTGAATTCTAGTAGAATTTTCAAATAAAAATTGATTTAAAAATTAATTTCAGTTAAAATTTTAGATAATAATTGAATATTAAAAGTAATATAGCGTGAATTTTAAGAAATAATTGAATTTTGAAATTAACTTTTTTGAAAAAGTACGGTCATCTTTACATTAATTCTTTTATTTTAAAATTTTTTGAAAAAATATACAAAGTGTCGGCGTTTTGATTATTATAAATTAATAATTATTTATTATTATTAATACTTATTAAAATAATAAATAATTATTATTTCTAATAAAATTTATATAAAAGTAACGTTGATTTTAAGATTGATCTTAAATTAAGATTTTCTATTCACTGTGTGAAAAAACTGATCAAAAATAATAAAATAGAAAATATTTACAGAAATACCAGGAGTCTATTTTAATTAGTTTTTATTTTCAACCTTTAACGAATCGTTTTAATTAAAGATCACTTGAGGCTATTCGCCGACACACTAACAATGATACTTTAGAACATTTTTCAGTCTATCCTTAATATTCTTGCATTTGAAACTAGCTTTATTGCTTGCTTTAAAAATAAAAACAAAAAAAAAATTGTAGAATATGAAAAAATATACAAGAATTGTAAACTACTATTTTCTTTATATAATCTTGCATAAATATAACTTTTATTTATTTATTTATTTATTTATTAACTTAGTAATGACTAATTACTTTTATTTCTTATTTTCATTTAAATTATTAAAAATTGAATATTTAAAAATATTTTTATATTAAAAAATACATTTTCTCTTCTATTGTACACTTATTTCCTTGATATATATTAATCTCTACTCGTATTTTCAGCGACGTTTACAATTGAAAAACAAATATTGCAATTTATAGGAGAAAAGAAATGTCTTTATTTGTGTAGCTATAACTTTAGTAACAGGTCTTGAATTCAAGTAAGATGTGATGATTATATTTTTTGCACAAATTGTCTTGTGAAGCTTAATTGCCTCTTCAAGCTTTCATTCCAATATTTCTTTAAAAAATCATTTGTTTTCAAATTTTTCACATTTCACATTTTTGTTTATCATTCATCAATTTAGTTTTAGTAAACAATAAAAAAAAGTAATCGGTTATTTGAATCAGATTCTTTTTTAGCTTAGAAATAATAATTTATAAATAACGAAAACTGCAGATTAAAAATTACAAATTAAAATGTTCTAGATATAAAAAGTTTTCTATTTAAACATTATTTTCTTGGCGAAAATAAAATGGTATTTTTCGCATAAATTAATAACAATAAAGTTGTAAAGTACTTTGTATGGTTATATAATTGTGTCTCAGGAGAGTAAATGGAGAACAATTTGTTCTACTTGAAAAAAAAAAAACTAAATCGAATATTTTAATACGTTAAATAAAATTATAATATGAGTTCAAAGGTATAACTGTGAAGCAGAAATCAGGCTGTGGTATACGAATCCCTGAATGGCAACCGCATTAAACCGTAGTTTTCCCCCAGTGTCCCTTTCCCAGTTGGTTTATCTTTATATGCTACTGCTTTACGTGTTCGATGTATTCGTATTCGTATTCGTATACAGTATATACACCATACCATTTACTCCACAATTCACATTCATTTCCATGACCTACACGTTGAATTTAGAACGACAGTGAGAGGACCTTTTTTTTACCTAAAAAATATTGCTCTATTCAAAAACAATTTTATTTATTTCTTTTATTTTTATTTACACCACAAGGAACAAGATAAACAGTTTTTCAATTTATTTAGTTTTAATTCTCTTGTAATCTTCTCGAATAGAAATAAAAATATTTCTTCGGGATAATTCATTAGCTACGTCGATTTATAATTACTAATTAATCATAGTTAATTAATAACAGGGTTCCTACAGAATCTGGAAATCATGGAAATGGTATGGAATTTTTAAAAGGCTTCTGGAAATCATGGAAAAGGCCTGGAATTTTTAAAAGTTTCTAAATTTTTTCTGTTTTCCATTTTTTCTCTTGAATAGAAATTCAAATAATAATAAATCTAAATGGCATAAAAGAGAGGAAAAAATTTTGAATTTTAAGAAATTCGGTTTTTTGAATTTTTGATAATTTTAGATAATTTTTGATTTTTTACCAAAGAGTCGAGACAATTTAATAAGTAAAGTATTTTCCAAAAGCACAAAAATAATGAAGCTAAATCCCATTAAAGAGAAGAAAAAATGTTGAATTTTAAAAAAATGGGTTTTTCGAATTTTTGATAAATTTTGATAATTTTAGAATTTTTACCAAAGGGTGGAGACTATTAAATAAGTAAAGTGTTTTTAAAGAGCCCAAAAATAGTGAAATTAGATTTAAAATTTCACTGGAATTTCGTAAAAATTTGACCTGGAAATCATGGAAAAGGTATGGAATTTTAAATTCGGATTTCTGTAGGAATCCTGTTAATAACTATTAAATTAAAAAGTACCTAATATTAAATATTAATGTTTAATTACTATTATTATTATTATTAAATAATAATTAATTATCAAGAGAATAATTTTTCTAAATTGTAACGTAGTTTTTGAAATAACCCAGTAAGAATATTTTTTACTGACTCTCAGAATTATATTATTTTCAGGCACAATGCTGATTTTTAAATATTCTTCTCTATTTACAAAGAATATTTTTTCAACCTTTGTAGTTTCATTGAATTTCCTTACTATTTTCAAAATAAATTTAATCTAGGTCCTACTTTTTTTATAAAGTCTATAATATGTAAGGTTAAAAAAAAAAAAAAAAAAAAAAAAAAAAAAATTGTTTACCTTAATAGAAATTTGAATTTTGAAATAATAAAATTTGTAATTTTCCAGCAACATATCTCGATACTGGAGCCGTAGGAGACTCAAGACAGTGCCTGAAGGACGCTGGATCCTCGCCACAAACACCGATCACAACAAATCATTTGGACGTTCCAAGATCGTTGGATCCAAATCCAAATCTCCTTAGTCCGGAAATTTTAATGCAAAGAAGAGGTAAATAAATAAAAATTCTATAGAAAAAATCCCCGTGAAAAAAATTCTATAGAATTTTACCAGAATTATGCACATAATTTAGTGAACGTTCTATAAAATAATAGAATTAAAAAAAAATTTTTTTTTTAATTATATAGTTCTATAGAATTATATAAAATTTATTTATTATTGTAATTTATAGTATTATTCATTTTATAAAAAAGAATTATCGTATTATCACCTAACTTCACGTACTCGCTTTACTCCGCTTGTGAGAGAACTTTCATGCCATCTAGTCAGCAATTTAAGGAACTATTGGCGCGAAATTCAAAAAAAGAAAAATTTAAAAAGTAATTTAAACAGTAATTCAAATAGTATTTCAATTAGTAATTACTTATTAATATTAATATATTAATAATATATAATTAATTTACTATCTGCAAAGGAAATAATAACTTTCTACTTAATATTCAAACAAGTAATGATAAATAAATGAGAGAAATGAAGTAATAGACACTAATCAAGTAACCATATTATTGATACTGAAATGGTGTTACACCAAAATTTAATTAAAATTTCAATTTTCATTTAAAATGAAATATTTTGTGATATATCTCATCTCATATCAGAAAATTAAATTAGTATCAAATTACGTTAAATCATATGTTAAAGCTGAGAGCATCAATCATCACTTTTAACAGATAACAGCTCATCCTTCAACGACACCAAAGTTACACAATAAATTTATTAATCATACGAAATTCCATTCGAGAAAAAATTCTCTCCCCAAAAAAGTAACAAATTTTTAATGAAATTTACTCTGAATTTAAATTTATTAAAATTAAAAATTTTATTTTATAAAATTTTATAAAATAAATTTAATTTAATTTAAATTTATAATGAATTTGTAATTTATAAATCTGTATTGCTTTCGGACAAAAGTTACCTAATTGATAAAAAATTTTAGGTAGTAGAAGACCGAGTATTTTGCCAGTACCGGATATGTTGACCAGTTCGACGTTAAACTTGCCTGGTCAAGAATCTCTGGATCACGAAGGTGATGAATCAGAAGATGAATTGGATGACGATGTTCCCTGGAGATCGCCAAGTGAAAAGATAGCGTGAGTAATATGAGCTTTTTCTTATCACACCCTTTTTTCTCATACACACTCGTTATATTCCGGCAGAAAAAAAATATCATTTCTTCATTCTTTAATAATTACTCTATTTTTACGATTATAACTGTTGTAAATCCATTTTACAGGCAAATTAAGATGAATCTTATTTGTCAGTTTCATATTTCAAAAAAAAATATTGACGTGAATTGATGTGTGCAGTGGAAATATTAGGAAAAAGAATGTTTTTAAACAAATTTCGCACGCAGATATAGTAAAAATCTCACTTTTGCATGATACGTATACTTACGCACTAATATTGTAGTTATCTTTTGGTTTTGAATCAAGAAAAAAGTAAATTTAAATAATAAAAAACATTCTTCACTGCACGTTTCTCTAAAGCACTTTTTAAAAATTCTCTATGAAAGAAAATTTCTTTTTTTTTGCGGTAAAAATAGAAGAAAATTATTTGGCAAATTATCAGTATATTTAAAGGTTACTTAGATTTAAAGACAATCGGGAAGTACATTATTTCTATTGTTAAGTAAAAACAATAAAGCGAGATAAGTGTTTCAAATAAAAACCTAAGTATAAAACTCGTTAAAGAAAAGTATATATAGAGAGAGAATTCCTTGAGTCTCGGGAACTTCTAAGTTTATGATACAATCGTTAAAATCTAGCAGACGTCTGACCCTGATATCTTCAAAACTAAATTCATACATTCTCGAGAGGGAAGTAAATTATTTTCCCATAGAACTTTAATATTATCACAAGGAGATTTTTTTCTTATTTTTAGTATTCTAAATCTAATTTTCACAATGAGTTGAATTAATTTAATGTCTCTGAATTCCATATTCCTTTCATTTTTCTTATCCTTAAAGACAACTTTCTTTTGCATGTCTATATAATTTGCTACCGAATATTTTTAATATGGGAAGAAAGAATTTTGAAAATAAAAAAAATTTTGATTAATGTCTAGACTACTGGGAGTAATATTAAATTGATTTTATAAATTTTTGCACAATTTGTCAATTATTATTTAATGCACTTTTGGAGATTGTTTATGCTCTAATGATTATTTTGTGAGATAGATGAGACGCTTAATTCCCTGCAGTCAAATAAAATATCCCATGTGGTCGTTACATTCCCTGTTATGTCTCTAAATCCATTTCCATAATATATGAGATTTTGCTCACGATCAATGTGCATATCCTCACAATGTTCTCTCGATGCCTGTACTACCAACGTGACGTCGTTGCATTCAATGATGTCCTGCCTGACAATGTCACCCTGTAATCTCTCGTGGATGTTTTCGATGTCTTCCTTCCTGTAAACACCTTTGTGCACTTCGTCTTGCTCTGCGCCACCATCTCTCGAACGACTTACTGCCTGCAGCTTTAAAGGGTGAGTCCCCTTCTTTTTTTCTTTATACCATTTTTTCCCATATAGAAAACAATAAATGTTTTTCTTTTCCATAAAAATCCACTTTCTCTTTGCTTTATACTTTTTGTCTCGTACAATTTTTATTTTGTTCTTTTAAAAGCAACACACTATTTGATCGCTTCAATATGTGTTTTATATAGTTGCAATTGACTATTTTCTTTCATTCCTTTAAATGTTAAGTTTTAGTTTTAAAATACAGGATTTTTTTAAAAAATGATTTTAATACTAGATATTTTTGATGACCGACATAAATAAATAGGAGAAAAGCACGAATTGTTATGAGAAACAATAGATTGCAGTGCTACAGATCATCGAAGATAGGATAATATCACATCGCCAATGTCCTCGACGGGAGGACCATTTAGTGTCATTCTCCTTCTAGTGCTCCTTGCGAATGGTTGCAATTAAACTGAAGAAAAAAAATTTATTAGTGTGTTTCTTTCCTAACACTTCATTGACAACGAAAATTCCCCGAAGATTTGAAATAGCCCCCGAACAATTTAATTTTTGCTATACAACCCTCACATCCTTAATTTTTTTACAAAAACCATCAAGTTTTAATCCCCTAAAATTAAACCTAATTTTTTGTTAAGCTAACGTAATGCTGATCGTTTCCAATTCATTTTGAATTTCATACAAACTCTTTCCCTTAGTTTCCGGCAAAAATGAAAGTATGAACGGAAGTCCAACTGAGCCGAGAATAGCAAAAACACTAAATGCTAAACAGGAATTTGTTTTATATTGTAAAAGTTCGAAAATATTTTGCACACTAAGTGCAGCAATGTAGACAAGAGAAATGCAAATTGCACAAGCCATTGTTTTAACGCGATTGGGAAAAATCTCACCCGCCAAAATTGGTACAAGGGGAATGAGTCCAAAGAAATAAACGGCATAATATGCCAATAACAGTAACATTGGTAACAACATTTCACCTTTCATTAAACCCTGACAATCTTGTTTTTGTATTAGTTTGTGTAATGCAAGCATGAAACAACATATCGCCGATCCAACGATAGAAATAATCAGTAGATTCTTACGACCAATTTTCTCAATTGTTAATAAGCAAAAAACATCGGATAAAACATTTATTGATGACAAGATAGCGTATTCATAACGTGGAACAAAATGTTCAAGAATGTTTCCCAAATATTCATTCATTGCTAAACTTCCCATCATTTGACTGAGAAACATCAATGGCAATATTATTATCAACGATTTTTTTGCATTTTGTGGGAAAAAGAATTTCTTAAAAGTACTCGACGCTCTCTTCTCCATAATATATTCGGAATTGAAAAAATATTCCATTGACTTATAATCGTCTTCGATTTCCAATACTGTTCTTGTGCCGCGTAAATTTTTCAAAGCTATTTTAGCATCTAAAACCTGAAATAGTTTCTTTGTGTTAAATGCGTATCTTTTAGAATTATATTTTTTAATAAATTTTTTACATTCTTAATACTATTTTTTATGACAGTAACTCACCTTTCCTGTTTTAAAAAGAAAATAAGGCGATTCCTCCATTAAGAAGAAAATTGAAACAGTGAATGTCAATGGTATAATCACAACTACGAGCGCAAGTGTCGCGAGCTTTATATAGAGCGCCAAAAGGCCAACAGTGAGAATTCCAAAATGAGCAAAAAATGATGTGAAAGCTCCAACAGTTCCTCTATTTTCGCGTGATGATATTTCGCCCACATAGAGAACAGAAGTTGTCACATAAATCCCAACGCCAAAGCCTGCAAAAGTTGCTGCTGAAGAAAGTAACTAGAGAGAATTATTTTGCCATTTGATTATTTAATCTACACAAGATTATTTATTTAAAAAATAAGAAAATTATTTTTACCGTTTCATTCACTGCTAAAGCGACACTTATCCAAAAGACCGAACAAGTCACCGCAGAACAGAAGAATGAAAAACGTCTTCCATAATTATCAGCCAATAATATTGGTACAAACGCACCAATGCTCGCTCCTCCATTTATTATTGTCTGCAAACTTCCAGTGTTTATACATTCGTAATTTTTATTCAAACCAAAAATATCTGAATCAATTGATGGATTTGGCCAACCCATTGTCAAACCCACGCAAATTGCTCCCAAATTTACTGGAATAATGGAAAATTTTAATCATTTTTTAAATTTACAAATTTTTAATTTTCAAATCCCCTAATTATTAATTAAATATTCTCTACAAAACAAATATCAATAATAAAGTTGTCGAATTACATGGAAAATAAATAAATAAATTGTATACATTAGATATCAAAATTTGTTAATAACATTAATAATTACACCAATTTGTTTGTTATTAGTCATAAATGTATGTACCATGCATGATTAGTGTCAATTGCTGATAACACATATTATTTAAATTTACAATAATTTAAGTACTTTTCCACAAATATTTTTGCATGCTAATAAGTTTTCCTTAAATGTCAGTTACATTTAAAGCACTCGCATTTTCATAAAATTAGAACTTATCTCAAGAATGACGAATTTTTTTTTATTTAAAAAAATTCTTGACGATAGATTAATAAAAATGTTTAATTAAAATTTTAATTAAAGAATTTCTTTTTACATTTTCTTTTTATAAGAAGAAATGAAAATGGGTTTTAAAGTTAAAAAAAAGTTTTAAATTATTACATCAGATATATTTTTTAAATAAATTTTTTTATAAGAAAACGCATCATTTCACGAAATGGATTTGAAACATAAATTTGTTTTTATTTTTTTCTAAGTATGAGAATTTTGAAAATATATTCGAAGAATAATAATCATTGACATTATAGTAGACAATGGATTATTGCAATAATAATTATAGTTTTTATTATTATTTTTAATTATTTTTAATTTGTAATTACTTACAAGATATAAGTGTCCTATAAAATCGATTACTTGTTTTGAAGAACTTCAAGAAGTACATCGCACTTGAAATATTGAATTCATGTAATATTTGGAGAGTTTCTTTTTAAAATACTCATTCTGGATAAAAGTTTATGCAAAACAGTAGATTATAAGCAAACATTTATGTTGTTTCGCGGCGTATTGTTAGGGGAAACTATATTATTAGTGATAAAAAAAACAATAATTGGAAATTACTTTGTTTATTGTTTTTCTCTTATCGCTTCTTCATTGCCACTTTAACGAGAGTTCCTTATATGATCGACGCGATGTCTCAAAATTACACCAACTGAACACAATTCTTTTTTTTTCAATTATATTATTGAAGAGAAAAAAAAATGTTACAGAATCGTCAAAGGATTTCCGCCTGTCTCCCCTTTCATTGGAGTATCACCAACTCTTTGTTATTTACTCAAGGAAAAAAAGCCACTTTGTTGCCTTCAGCTGGCTCAAGTAAGACACACTCACAAGACATTTTTTTTTTCTAGATAACAATTTATATTAAATTATTTTTATATGTACACGATTTTTGCTTTTTTTGGAATTGTATATTTAAAATTGCTCTTGTCAGAGAGTTTTAACATTGTCTTGAAATAAATTAAAAAACATATCTCGAACAAAGTATTATTGGAAAATAAAATTTTATCATAATATCGATAAAATCAGATCAAGATGGTTGTCAGTTATCTTAAAATTACTTTGTTGAACATTAATGAATACATTTTTTTCAGGTTTGTGAGCATTGCAGTTATAGGAATGCTAAAGAATATAATTGGCAGAATAAAACTATTATTTTAGCTGCCGACTATGCCAGCAATGGAATCTATAATTTTATCATTCCGTTGAGAGCCCACTTCAGGTACAAAATGATTATGAATAAAAAATTGATAATTATTTTAATAAAATTGTAGTTGAAAAAAAGTATTTTTCAATTAGAGATTGTATCTAATAATAGAATACAGTAAACGGATGTAAAATATTCTAATTTAACCAATGTTGAATATTTAAAAAAGTTGTGCAAAATTTGAGATTATATTTTCGTCATGACATGAATGAAGATATGTTTTGTTTGTATAAATAATAAATTTGAATCGATTGCATTACAGGTCAAAAACATCTTTAAATCCCATCATCCTTCTACTGGAAAGGAGACCGGAAATTGCATTTCTGGATGCTATTTCCTATTTTCCTCTGATCTATTGGATGCTGGGCTCCATAGATTGCCTAGATGACCTTTTACGAGCTGGTATCACTTTAGCGGAAAATGTCGTGGTTGTCAACAAAGAACTCAGCAATTCTGCTGAGGAAGACACTTTGGCTGATTGTAATACAATAGTTGCTGTGCAAACCATGTTCAAGTAAGTTGCAAATTTTAACTTTGTTCCATCAACTCCAAAATCAGACCTCAATTAAGTTCACAAAATATTTTACTTCAACCATTTTTTTATTCGCAATTATTTACATGTTTCTACAATCTATTCCATTACAATTTATTAAATTACAATTGGATTACAATTTATTAAATTACAATTACATTTCAATTTATTGAATTAAAATTACATTACAATTTATTAAATTACAATTACATCACAATTTATTAATTTACAATCAGGATTTACCAAATTTTAAATTTTTAAATAAAAATTTTTCTTTCAACTTTAATTTTTGAGAAAACAGTTTTTCCATTTCCTCTCTATTTATCTCTTTCGACAGATTTTTTCCGAGCATAAAAAGCATAACGGAATTATCGCAGTCGAGTAATATGCGATTCATGCAGTTCAGAGCACACGACAAGTATGCCCTTCACCTCAGCAAAATGGAAAAGGTACTCCTCAGTGCTACTTCCGGTGACAGCTACCCCGCTGAGCCTCACATGGGCTCCCCGGTAACACAATATCACTCACTCTGATTGATGATTGACTGACTGATCGATGTATTGATCACTAGACTGCCGATTATAATTTTATCGATATTCACTTTGACCTTCGTTTAGCACCGAGATCCATCCTAGCTTTCATTTCAAAAAAAAAAAAATTAAAAATCTTACATGAGATTTAATTTGATTGCAAAATTCAATATCTTGAATGATTGATTGACAATTATGAATCGATATTACGTCAGTATTTCTTATTATTTAATAATATTCTGTTATCAGAAGGTAATCTAACGACTGTCGAAAATAAACAGTGTAATCTGATTAATTCGTCAATTCTTTGGAGGCTCATCAAGGAGAAAGGTCGCCAAAATGCTGTCGACGAGTCGAGCAGTTAATGTCATTCGCTTTCTGCTGTTCCTTGCGAATGGTTCTAGTGACACTAATGAAAAAATATTATTAGTGTGTTTCTTTCCTAATTCTCCACTGACTATTAAAATAGTTTTGTGGTATTATATTTTTTACTTTCTGGATTTTTTTCGAATTGAGCAAGCACACGTAAATAATTAAATAATAATAATAATAATAATAATAATAATAATAATAATAATAATAATAATAATAATAATAATAATAATAATAATAATTAAATAATTAATTAAAAAATTAAACTTTAAGGGATCTTTGATCATTTTACGTAGAATTGCTCATAACGAAAAATTATTCTTTGTTATTTTGAATAATAAAAAAAAATCGAGAAAATTTTGAAGTCTAGAAGAAAAATGATAAGTTGAAAAGTTGACACGTGTATAATAAATCAAAATACACCATTGTTGAGTTTTTATTTACATATATAATTTAAAAGTCACGATTTTTCAGAGCTGTAAAAATTTTTCTTTAGGGACTTGAGGCAATAACTTTTCTTAACGACAAATCCAATAAAAAGCGCAGTATTATTGTAGATCTCAACGAAAAGCCTTGTGCACATCACTAATACAAAGTGCATATAGATATATATATATTTAGTTGTAAAAGCATGACAAAAAAGTAGTTGAGTTTAAAGGTAAAGTCACCACGACCTTCTCAATGGGGAACCACTTTATCTTAAGTGCTTCTTCCACGTTCACTTGGACCGGCGCTTATCGACTTTGCGAATAGCTTTCTTTTTTACTAGCACATAAAAATCTGTCCCTCTATGTTGTGCGTCAAAAAATATCCTCACTCTTTCAAAGCCAGAAATGTAACCTGTTGACATTCTGTTAGAATTATATTTTACAATTACATAAAGAATCAATAGAAAAATAAAAATTTTCTAATTTTATTTTCTAAGAATTTTAAATTTCTATTTTCTAATAATTATACTAACGCAGTAAAAAGAAGATCCGAGAAAATCTTATTTTAAGACAACAAGGCAGTCTTAAATTAAGATGCAACATTTTTTAGACCGACTATGTTGATTTATGCAACGGATTTTTGAGGATTTAATATTGAAGTAGTTAATGTTAGCATTAAATATTAAATGCTCAAAATTTAAGCAATGGATTTAGGAGGATTTAACATTCAAGTAGTTAATATTAATATAAATTTCTGAGGGAAAAATATATATTGAAAGTTTATAAGAATTCACTGGATGACATTTGAGAAGGCAATATAGTTGCTTAAAAAAAATTCTAAGGTTGAGAATACAAAGTGTTTATCTAAAAGAGAAAATAAATTGTATGACTAATATAAAAATGTTGAATAATAAGAAAACTTAGAACTCAATAAATCATTCTGAAAATTTATTTTTTTTTTATTTTCCTTTTTAGCAAAATTTTATTTTAAAGCTGAGGATGGACTCGTAGTTTTTCTTTAATTATCGACTCTTCTAGTCGATGCACATTTGCATTTTTAATCTTTTTTCTATATTATTATAGTTTCTCAGCTAGCGATGGTCTTTGAAATTACTTTTCAACTTTGTCTTTTATTATCTTATATATAAAAGCTATTGTCTCAATTCGAAACTGAAAAAAAACTACTTCCATAATCAGTTTCATCATTTGCATGTATGCTTGTGCCTTGTATTCTAATTTTAAAATGCATCTGTTAATTTTTTAAATATTTTTTACAAATATATTTACTATCAATTTTATCAAATTTTCTTATGATATAAATATTTGCCATATGAGTCTTTTACTTACATAAATCTATTATAAAGCTTTTACGAATCTTTTTATAAATCTTATGATTCTGTACATAAATCTATATAAATTTTTAATTTTCTATTTAGATATTTTCTATTTTTAAAATTATAAATATTTTAAATTTCCTCTATTTTTAAAATTATAGCTAATAAATAGAGTTAATAAATAGATTTATTGACTCTCACTTGTGAATTTTGAAAAAATTAAAAAAAATGTTTTTAAGCTCGGTAGTTGTAGAAAATTTGAGTGCAAAATTTTCAGTCTTTTTTTGGAGAGAAGCTTTCTAGAGAATATGAAGGCATGAGAAAAATAGTGTATAGAAGCCCTGTAGACTAAACAATAAGACTGGACGTTTGGACCGATAGATGCTCATTGCGCTCCTCATCACAGTTATTAATTTAAAAAAAAGAATCATATGCATGGATTTTACCGGTGGGCCCAAAAATGCATTTTTTTAAATATATCAAAAAAAATTTTAATTGAAAATTCTAAAAAGAAAGAATAATGTCAAGTGTCAAATAATTCAAGTGAGAAGAAAGTAAAGACAAAAAAAAAGAAATCGGTTTAGATCGAAAGTCCAGAATTTCCTTGTGTAAATAAAGCTTTAGAAATTTAGAAGAAATTTAGAAAATATGTATCGACTTCGATACGAGGGAAATTAATTTTTTACTAAAGGGAAAATTATTTTTTCACAGAGAGAAAAGGAGAGAGGCTCACATATATCATACATGTTTCGTCTGCCATTTGCCGCTGGAAGTGTTTTCAGTGCCTCAATGTTGGACACGCTTCTTTATCAAGCTTTCGTCAAAGATTATGTGATAACATTCGTTAGGTTACTACTTGGAGTGGATCAAGCGCCAGGCTCTGGATTTTTAACATCTGTATGTGCTTTAATCCAAATTTATTAATTCTTATATTTATTTTTTACTGCAAAAATTAAGCATCTTACTTACTACAAAGTTACTTTTCAGATACTTCTTTTTGCAGTGTTATTAATTTCTACGTTTTTATAATTATTTTTAAATTTTATTAGAATTGTAAGATTAATTATGTAAATTTGAAAATATTTGTATTTGTAGGGAGTAATTATAGTTGTAATGTGAGTGATTTCGAAATATTGCAGATGAAGATTTCGAAAGAAGACATGTGGATAAGAACGTATGGGAGACTTTATCAAAAATTGTGTTCAACAACTTGTGAGATACCGATAGGAATTTACAGAACTCAAGATACGACGCTAACTGATACTTCACACGTGAGTTTAAATTTTTTTCTCAGTAAAGAATAAGAAGCTGATCAAATTTCAGGTCATTTCGCAATAAGGATCAGAAAAAATTGAATAATATCAGTGAGTAGCGCATGATCGTGCTCTCATCGTGTCTAAAATTCATTTCTTGTGCATCGTATATTACCCTCTATTATGATTCATCAATTGTTGCAAACAGATCACAGAACTGTTCTAAAAAGTAAAAATAAAAACAAGTAATGCTCGATTCTTGATTTTTTTACTTTGGACAGCAGAGGAGTTACTTTTAAGAAGCAGTATTTAAAATTATTTTCTTTTAAATTTTTAGTTTAAGTAACCTAATATTAATATTTTTAGGATATTCGATGATAAAAACTAACAAAAGTTGTCTTTGCTATGAATGTTGCTACTTACAAGACTTCTACTGGCTGTGATCCTAAAAATGCAACTCTGTGAATCTTTTCTCTCAAAGATGTTCGGAAGCACGTGTATAATTTTTAATTAACCCTTTTAACCGAGATGCATGATTATTCCCTAAAGATCATTAATTCGTATTTTCCAGTGACTCGTTAAAAACAAAGCATTTGCTAAATTGAATCAAAAATTGATCCAAATTTTTGGCATCAAGATCCATTTTAGTATCAATTTGATACTTTCAAAAAAAAAAAAAAAAAACTCAGAACTGGTACTTCGTTCTCAATGCTGTACGAAAATTATTTTCTGCAGATTCATCTCCATCATCTTTTGGAATAAATTTAGAGATGCATTCAAAAGAGTAGTAAAAAAATCCTTTTATTTTTCTGTTATTCTTTTGCTACAATTTCTGGATCAATATTAATATTCTTAATATTACGTAATAATTAATTTTATTAAAAATATTAAAATTTTTGTGTCTCATCTTTGTGAAACAAAAAAATTCTAGTTTCAAAATAGAAATTATAAATCAAAAATCAAAAAGTTTTGAATCACAATTTTTGGAGAAACATTCACTTTATACGAAAACAAAATGTTTGCAAGATATCGCACAGGTGTAAGAGGACCTTCTCTTATGACCCTTGGAAGCAGTAACCAGAAACTTTACCGAAGACCATCTGGTGAGCAGACCCCTTATATCCCCTACCAGATCTTTCTAATTATTAAATACAAACACTGGAAATTGGAATTAATTTTTTGAAGGGTATTTTTTTGCATCTCCTCTATCTATATAAATCCGTTGTTGCATCGTGTTAGTAATTCATACCTTATTCTGCATAATACACTTGTAGTAAAAAAAGATTTTTTTTTCATGAAATATTCGACGAAAGAATATCGTTAAGTAACTATTTTTAATCATTAACTATTTTTCGTGACTGAGATATTCCCAATCGAATTTGTTTTCAATTCAAAATTAAAATAATAATTTTCCTTTTAATAATTAGATATCACAGTTTTTCTAATACTGTAAAAAAAGGTACTAATTTAGTACAGGGTTGCCACAAGTCAGGGAAATCACGAAAAAATCAGGGATTTGTATTAAAAGTACTGAGAAAAATTAAATTTTTAGAATTTGTAAGAAAATTCTAAATTTTTGTGTCATTTTTGTTTCCTCATAAACTTTGAAATTACCGCGAATTTTAATACAAACCCTTCAATTGTTTCTATTTCTGACAATAATTTATTTTTAAATAACTAAATTTCAATTATCTTTAGAAATAATAAAATTCTTCTCCGAAATTTAATTATTTTCAGTAAATTTAACAAAATTCTTTGGCAAAATTTTAATTATTTTCAAAAATTTTCCTCATTTAAATTATTTTTTAAATCTATTTTAATAAAAATTTCCAAAAGAATTCAATTATTTAAACAAAATTTTCATAAAAATTTCACAGAAATTCAAATACTTACCAAATTTTCATAAATTTCTTCGCACCAATATTCAATTATTTTTAATTTTTTTTAATGAAGTTTTTCGAAAGAATTCAAATATATTCAGAGAATTGAAAAAAATAGTTCTGAGAAAATCAATTATTTCGAAAAATTTAAATAAAATTCTTTTAAAAATTCTATTATTTAACAAAATTTTGACAAAATTCTTTACAAAATTTAGTTAATAAACTTGCAATTTTAAAAAAATTTCCTATACAATTCAATTATTTTCAATACAATTCATCTTAGGAATTCAATTATATTTTCTCAAATAATTCATTTTTTTAAGACAATTCAATTATTTAAAAAAAATTCAATAAAATTCTTTCCTAAAAATCAATTATTTTTATTAATAATACAATTTTTCTTGAGAATTCAATTATTTTAAAAAATTTTGATAAAATACTTTACAAATTTGAAAAATTATAATAAAATTGGTCATAGATCAAAATTATTTTCATAAAATATAACATTCTTCCTAGGAATACAATTATTTTTAAGAATGCTTGTAAGAATCTTCGAAAGAATTCAATTATTTTTGCAAAAAATAAAATTTTTCAAAGCAATTCAATTATTTAAGAAATTTTAATAAAATTCTTCCCAAGAATTCAATTCTTTTCAAGAACAAACATTCTCACAGGAATTTAATTATTTTAAAAAGAATTTTTTTAAATTCTCTGTCAGATTTCAATTATTTTCAATTTTTTAATGAAATTTCTCGATGAAATTTAATTATTTTTAAAAAGTTTTAAAAAATTCTGAGAAATTCAATTATTTAAAAAAATTTGTATAATATTCTTTAGAAGAAATAAATTATTTTCATGGGTAATAATATTTTTCTCCTGAATTCAATTATTTTCAAAAATAAAATTCTTCACAGGAATTCAATTCTTTTCAAAAATAAACATTTTCACAAAAATTCAATTATTGAAAAAAAGAATTTGTAAAATTCTTCGTCAGATTTCATTTATTTTTAATTTTTTAATGAAATTTTCTTATAAAATTTAATTATTTTCAAAAAGTTTTAAAAAAGTCTGAGAAATTCAATTATTTAAAAAAAATTTGTATAAAATTCTTCACAAGAAATTAATTACTTTCATGAATAATAATATTTTTCTCCAGAATTCAATTATTTTCAAATAGAAAATTCTTCACAGGAATTTAATTCTTTGAAAAATTTTTTAATAAAATTTGTTGCAAGAATTCAATTATTTTCATAAATAACAAAATTCATCGCAGAATTTTCAATTATTTTTTATACAATTTTAAATAGAATGATAGAAAATTGCATTTATTCTTAAATTTTTTTTTTTAAATTCACCGAAAGAATTTAATTATTTTTAAAACTTTTGATAAAATTCTTCATAAAAATTCAATTTTAGGAAATATTCAATTATTGAATTGTAGTAGAATTTTCTATTAAAAATTTATTTAAAAATGAATTTCAGGTTAAATTTTACATAATAATTGAATATTAAGAGCATTATAGCGTGGATTTTTAGAAATAATTAATTTTTTTAAAGGGTTTTTCAGGGTCAGGGAAAAAGTGAAAATTTTGTCTGGAAATCAGGAAAAAGTCAGGGAAAAACAAAATTAAAATTAAAGTTTTGTCGCAAAACCAAATTTAGAACCTTTTTTTTACAGTGAAGAAAAAATATGTGCAGAAAAACTTTGAATATATTTTATTTTTAAAATATTTCGAAGAAGAAAAAAGAATTTAAAGAAGGTTTTTTTGTGCCAAAAATTATCATTTCATCTCGAGAGGGAATCATTTCCGTCGGGAATAAAATTTTTCAAAATTAAGAGTAAAGAGAAATTTTTTTTCTTTTTTTTTTTTTTTTGAAAAGAAAAATATGTTTTTAAAAAAGAAGTGCTGCCGGATTCATGGATTAACGGATGCAGAATATGTGGTAGTAAGGGTAGATCTGCTTTTGACAGGGTGACTCTGATGCTGAGAGCGACGCCGGTGTTGGTGTGACTTACAAAATACGCCATTCGTCAGCAGCATCCTGTTTAGCTAATTGTACCAGTCGTGATAAGGGTTCTTCTCCTGTGAGTAAAGTCGATGTATGTGTAATACAAATATTTTAATCTTAACGTCACTCTAAAGTTTCTGGTCCTCAAAAACAACTCTCGACTTTTTCTCTCATCTCTCTCTCTCTCTATATATAGTGTACTTCTTTAATCCGCAACTATCAAGATTCTCTCAACAAGTTTCTAAATTATTTCCACTTCTTCACTTTTTGTCTAAAAATCCCTTTTTTCAATATAAATATACAAAATGACAGTAAATTTTGAAATTCGTCAAATTATTTCGAGTAAAACTTTTAATAACTTTTTAGAAGGAAGAAAAAGGAAAAAGAAAAAGTTTTTTTATAGAAATTAAGGAGTAAATTTTTTAAGGACCAAAGCAATGGAGAGAATATATTTTTAAATTATAAATGTTAAATACTATTGTTTTTGTTTTTTTTTTCTCTTTGTTCTCTAATTATCCAAAATGCACCGCATGATAAACTAAAATCTTTGCGCCAATGGGTTTCAACGCAAAATATTATGGATATGTCGCACGTTCTACATCTGTGTTTATCTTGATGTCGTCTTTCAGGTGTCGATTAACAGCTTTGGCAAAATTTCTGACAAGGTTTGCACCATTATTTAATTTTAGATTTTTCAAAAGCTTTTTATTTTATAATGTTGAATTTTTTTTCAAGAAACAAAGAATTAAATATTTTTTTCATTTTTTTTTGTTTCCATAGTATGTTAAGAATAGAACGAGTAAGTACACAAGTTGCACGAAAATATAAATTTAATTTGGCAAAAAATTTGAGAAAAAGAAATTAGCTATGAGAGGTTATTATTTTTCTCTCTTTTTTTCGAAACAGTATATTGTAGGCTTCGCACTCATCTACTAAAACCAACTATTTACTACTTTTTTTACCTTATGCTATTATTTCGGTACTTTTTTTAGAGTTCAGCCAAAAAGATACATGGAAATTCAATTTCTTAAAAAAAATTTTTTATAAAATTCTTCGCAAGAATTCAATTATTTTTATAAATAATAAAACTCATCGAAGAATTTTAATTATTTTCAATACTATTTTAAATTAACGAAAAATTCAATTATTTCCACAAATAAAGTTTTCCACAAGAATTCAATTATTTAAAATAAAATTATTAAAATATTTACTATATTTCGGTAAAATAAATTATTTAAACAATGTTTATAAAATTCTTACGAAGAATTCAATTATTGAATTTTTAAAATTTTTAATAAATTCAACGCAGGATTTCAATTATTTTTAATACAATTTTACAGGAATTGCTCAAAAAATGTAATTATTCTTAAGAATTTAATTTCAATTTGCCGAAAAAATAAATAATCTATTTAAAAAAATGTTTTTTTCAAATTCTTTGAAAGAATTTAATTATTTAGAAAAATATTAGAATTTTTCACAGAAATTCAATTATTTTCAAATATTTTAATAAAATTGTTTGCAAAATTCAATTATTTTCATAAATAACAATATTCATCGCAACAATTCAATTATTTTTAAAAGTAATAAATTTCTTCTTGGAAATTCAATTATTTTAAAAAATTCTAATAAAATCTTTCGCAGGAATTCAATTATTTTCATAAATAATAAAATGCTTTTTAGGAATTCAATTATTTTCAAAAAAAATTTAATAAAATACCACACAGACATTTAATTCCTCAAAAATTTTAATACAATTCTTTGTAAAATTTAATTATTTTTAAAAACTTTTCGCAATTCAATGATTTTCAATATCTACAATTTTCATAAAATTTCGCAAAAGAATTCAATTATTTAAAAATTTTTCTGAAAAAATCTTTGTAAGAATTAATTTTTCGATAGCTACATTTTTACTACTTTTTTTAGTTTGAAAGACACTTTTTGCTATTTTTTTAAAATTAATTATCGAGTGCGAAGTCTGCAATGGCAAAAATGTTTTAAGCAGACTTAATAGAAACACAGTTTTCTTGAAAGTATCAAATTGATATCAGTAATTTAGATCAATTTTTGATTTTATTCTCGTTTTTGGCAACAATTCGGTTGCAATTTGATATTTTTAAGTTAATAGTGAATATGTTTATTGATTTTAATGCTTGGTTTTGTCTGTATTTTTGGTGAAATAACACGGTAATTGACAGCACTTTTTTTCCTATTTATTGAGGAATATGAAAAAAGTTTTTAAACTAGTAATTATAGTAAGTCTTTAACGTCCGAGTGGTTTTAATAATAAGAAAGAAAAACGAAGACGTTTTTATTATTACTACGAAGATGAAATTAAACGAATCTTTGACTGAATGTCTTCGTTTTTCTTTTTTATTATAAAAAATAGTAATTTTTACGATGTTTAGTTTTACTTTTTCGTTTGAGATTTAAAGGACTGAATGTAAAAAATTGATAGATTGTATATATTAGTACAGTAAAGGTCAACGCACAATAGGTTCGCGAATGTCGTTCGCGAACGCAATGCATGGGTTAGAAAAGGACAGAGATATATTTGTGTCCTTTTCTAACTCATGCTTTACATTCGCGAAGCTGTTGTGCGTTGGCTTTAACTCTTGGTTCGTGTCTGCTCGTGTCGTGACGAGTCTTCACGAATCGCTACGAGTAGACCCGAACCCACACGAATCAGACAATTAACCGCCATTTGCAATTTGAGTTACTGCGCATTTATTTTCTTGAAACATTCCATCCTCACAAGACATTTTAACGAATTTCTGAAACTAATTTTCTAAAATTTTTGTAACAATTTTATAACAGAATATTTTCTTCTAGTATTCCGTGAGTGTTGGAGACGAGGCAAGGGACAATCATGCCCAGCAAATAGAGCGCGCGGAAATAGCAAATCTAGTGAGATCAAGAATGGAGTCCCTAAATTTACCGATAGCCGACTACGATGACGTCTCGGAGAAACGTAACAACCTCTCCTACGTGATCATCAATCCCAGCTGTGACCTGAAACTCGAGGAAGGCGACATTGTCTACCTAGTGCGGCCAAGTCCATTCTCAGCGCAAAAAACATTCGAGCGTCACAATTCCCGACGGAAAAGTAACATTAGCTTTTGTTCAGCTCAATTGGTACAGCAAATGAGCACGGCAATCGCTTCGGCTGGACTTGCCGGCGCCGGGCCAGGAAGTCGCCGAGGCTCCGGGATCGGATTGGCCAGGGCACCACCACTCGGGAATACAAAATCAAATTCCCTTTCTCTGCCAGACAGTCCCACCGTGGCCGGTAGCTTGAGGGGTCGTTCGAATTCCCTTCGAGTCGTTGACGACATCCTGCTCAGACGAAGCAACTCATTGAGGCAAGGTTTGAGCGCAGTGTCGAGGCGAAAGAGCAGCCTCGAGGACATTGGCTTGGGCTCCCTGTCCCACCATTCGAATTACAATCCTATTAAAATTGCCTTGAACGGTTCCATTGGACTGGAAGTGACGCCACCCGAGGAGGGCTCCCAAGGTGCAAGTGCTTCCAACACTGGAATTCTTGACATTGGTCTTCCATCGATACCTGCCTTTGGAATGGGATTGAATCCAAATCTCTCCACTGGATTGGGTGGCTCACTGGGTGGACTCTACGATCCACCAGCAATTCAAGAGCCAATGGGATCGACGGTTCAGTCCTCGTCCTCCTCCCAAGGCACCCAGGATCCGCAGCACATACAAGGGACCTTTGTATGATATCATCTCATGTGGGGACGCAGGCTCTCCAATGTAGTCAGAAATAAAAATCAGCAAACGAACTTTAGGAATATTATCTAAGTGAATTTGCTGGACTGGCGTTCCCACATGTAAAATTAGAAGTTCAAATAGGGTAATTAGGTGGGAGAGACTCTCCAAGTTTTCATCTTCTTCAAAAGTCGCCGTCGTGTTTGTTGTCGTCAATTACTCGGGGAATATTATTTTTTTTCTTTGCCAAGACGGAACGAGGAGTCCAGGTAGAAAAGTTAACGTTAGACTAACGTTCGGCTGACGTTAGGCTGACGTTAGTGACCAAAAAATGTTGTTAGATTAACGTTAGCCTAACATAAGTTAACGTTAGTCTAACGTTAGCCTAACATAAGTTAACGTTATCCTAACATTAGCCAAACGTTAGGCTAACGTTAGCCTAACATAAGTTAACGTTAGTCTAACGTTAGTATCATTATCTAACGTTAACTTTTCCACCTGAGAGTATGTATTTTTATTCTCATTTCTTCTTAAACTCAACACTAATTTAGATTCTTAATTCATATACTCCGATTGCATCCAAACTTGCAGCAACATTTACAACTTTGTCTCAATATTGTGAAACTTGCAAGCACCTTGTCATCAATGTTGCTGCAAGTTTTGATGCTGTGTCTTAGTAGTAAAATGTAAAAAACAATTTTAGAAATAAAATCAGAGTTTTTGTTTAAATAGCCATTAGGCCAAACGAACAAAAACATCTTATTTCTAAAAATTTTTAATATTTTAAAATAAATTTTAGTCAGACTCTTAATTCTTTGGTGTATCAGTAGCAAAACTCTACTTTAGTATAAAACAATTTTTCTTGCATCTTTTACAATCTTTGGTAATGGAAAACAGTTTCTCGTAATTTTTCCAATCAGTACTAGAGGTCAATGACTGTCAGACGTAAATTTCTCCTATTTATCGAGTTTCAATCAGACAATTTTTTCTCAATATAATTATTATATTTAATTTAATTATTAATTATTATAATAATCGAATTGATAATATAGTAAAGATAAAATAAAATTTTCGACTGATTCAAATAAAGAGAAGTAAAAATTGATAATTCTGAAAATTCCGTCAAGCAAAATATTTTTTTTTCAAAACAAAACGACCTTTATTTCAAGCTACCTGATCGACACGAAGGAAACTCCGATGGTAGAGAAAATCCCGGGTGGTGTTGTTCCTGACACTTCGTGTCCTGGAGTTTACAAATAAAATACAAAAAATCAAGACTCAAATTGTGGTGCTTCACGTGAATTCGTAAAAATTTTATATTAAGTGAAAGACAATTACCACACGAGCGAGAAACGATATTAAAAATTCATATCCGTGATAGTGTCAAAAAAAAAAAAAAAAATTTTGTTTGACTCCCAAAATTGAATATTGAATTCTATTCTAATAAAATAAAACAAACTTTAGAATCAATAGCTCAATCATTGAGAGTCAATCAAAAAATCCTCCCCCTCCCAACAAAAAAGCAGATGACGCTTTAGTGAAACTTTTAGAGTAAAAAAAAAGATAATTATAATTGCGAAAAAGTGCAAAAGCGACCTAAATGAAAATTTTAATTAAATTATTATACCATTAACTATTTAATTAGTTAGTGAATTATATGTTAATCACTGAGAAATGAAAAATGTTCCAATTTCTAGAATTGATTTTTTTTTTTTTTTTGCTTGAGAAATGGCACTTTTTGTGAATAATATGCAGTTTTTTAAGAATATTTTTTTATTAAATGCATATCAATATTTTCTAATTCTTAATTAATTAAATTAATTAAATTTTTAGCAAACAATCATAAGTAATTTATAGACAATCTTTAAAGAAAAAAAAATCGATATTCAAAGAGTCTGGTTTTACTCGAAAAATCTTATTGGTCCAAATAATTTTTTCAAAAAGACAACTGCTCATTCTTTACAGATATTTTTGTCTTGCTAAAAAAATATATATGTATATCTTACTTATTACTATTACACGACAAAATGTTGTCGAATTTCAGAACTAAACACAAAAAAATAAGGAATAAAATAAAAATTATATGAATTTTATTCGTTATTTATTTTCAATTTTATTAAATTTTATTTAAAATTATTATTTTTAATAAAATAATTACAAACTCGTAATATTTTAGTTATATTTTTAATTATTTGCCAAAGATTACGCAATTGAAATCAGAATTTCAAAATTCAAAATGGCGGAACCAATATGGCGGCCGAATTTTTAAAAACTCGACGAATTCGCTTGAAAATTATTACTCAGGGGTTTTTGGGGTTTCTAATTACGAATCTGATGTCAGATTTTTAAAATTCAAAATAATGGAACCAATATGGCGTCCGAGTTTTTAAAAATTAACGAAACTCGCTTGAAAATCATTGAAAAATGCTCCAAACATAGTTTAATTGTATTTTAAAGCACTTAGCGAAACCAGACAAAGATTTTTCAAGTTTCAATAAGATTTTTTTGAAAAAAAAGAATAAAATTTTCAGATAATGCTTCGATCATTCAGAAAAAAAAATTTATTTTCATGTTATGACTTCAAAAAAAAAAAATCAAAACAAGAATTTTTATTGTTTTTTTATATGAAAGTGTGAGATAACAAAATATCTCAAAACTTGACTTTCTAGGAAAATTTTTAAGTAATTTTAACTTATTTTAAGAAAATTTCTCCTTTGAAAAAAATTTTTAAAAATTAAAATTTAAACCTTCGAAAATTGTTTGGTTCTGAAATTCCTCAAAATTTTCTCAAAGTTTGTTATTGACAATTCTAATTAACTTTTAAATTATATTCTTCTTTCATTATATTATAATTATTAATTATAAATTATAAATTATAAATTAATATTCTGACAATCTTAATTTAAATCGGTTGATGAATCTAATTAAAATATACCTCAATTTAAGAAGTGCATGATGAGTGCATTTTTCTAGAAAGTGGGATCAGTCAAAAGTGTACGTAACTCGACCAATTTACATAAAATGTTAATTTAAAAATATTCTTTTTCCATAATCACTCTACGTTTATCTCAATATTAATTTTCAAAAAGACTCGTCGTTCAGAAATATTATTTAGAAACAAAAAGAAAAAAAAGGTTTCACTAATTAGAAAAGTTAAAAAAATAATGTTAAAAATTTCAAAGTTTCGCTCTTAAGTATCGTGTCACGAATTATAGGTGACGTAGTAATTAGTTAATTTAAAAAAAGAAAATTTTGTACATATTTCAAATATTATGTATAGGCAAATTTTTTATTCGAAAATATTTCAAAATGCCGAATGTCCGATTTTACTTTTAAAGTAACATGATTTTTTTGTCGATTGGAAACAATTTTTTTTAATTTCTCCTAATTCATTTTTTTTCATCTTTCTTTTTAAACTTGTACAGCTATTTGTCAGAGTTTTCTCTTTGTTATTGTAATTAGTAATTATAAAAAAAAATTCTTGACTTCAAACTAAATCTGAGGCATCGATTTTTGAGAATTTTCAATTATTAAAGTCTAGAATCGAAATTTAGGAGTCTAGATATAAATAATATTGTATAATGCTGTGAGAAATTGCGAATGTGTGTGTTTTATTCGAGTATGCATGTATATATTAGTTAAAAATTTGTCATTTAGAATTAATAATTAAGAATTAAAAATAATCGCGAGGCAAAATGTCACGCCGATATAAAGAAACAAAAAAAATTTCATTCCTCTTGACGAGAAACAATAATTAAAAAAAAAAGTCCATATCGCATCAGAAAGGGCTCCAAAAAAAAAAATATGACCAAATTTTTTCATCAAAAACTATTTCTCATCAAAAAAAAAGGAAAAAATATTTGCACAGTACTTTTTTTATCTCCAGCCAAATTTTTATTCCTCCTGTTAAGGAACTCGATTGTCTAAAATCCTAAGAAAGGTATTTTTTTACTTTATAGATTTATTTTTGTCCTCTATGTTATAAAATTATAATTATCGTTATATTCGTAAATTATTGAATGTTAAAAAAAATTTTTTAAATATTGTTATTTGTTGTAAAAAAAAATTTAATTTAAGTCAAAAAATGAAAATTTGTAAAAAAATTTTAAAGATTGTCGAGTTCCATAACAAATATTTATATAAATTCTTCGGCCAAATTCGCAACACGATGTAAGAGTGATTAATCACAAATAATTTGATATATAGTGTGACTCTCACGATGGCATCGAGTACATTTGCGTAGAAGAATAAAAGTTTGTAGATTGAATTCTCTCGACCAGAAAACAAAAAAAAAAATGTTATACGTGATTGCACGTGATTGTAAAATAAAAAAAAGAAAAAAAAAGTGTATCATATTGCCGTGTGTGAAGCATCGCCAAACATCTTCGTTCGCTCGCACCGGATTAAATTTATTATAAATAAATTATTATAAAGCAAATATATTCTGTGTGATTTTATTATATTTTTCAATAAAGTTTAAATTATTTTTCTGAAAATTTTTGAAAATAGTAATAATTCGCCCGCTAAAGCGCGCCGCTAACTACTTACTGCCTTTTTTAAATAAAATTAGTAATTTTTTAAAAATAATAGAATTTAAAAATTTTCTAATTCTAAATTTTTGTTGAAAACACTATAAAAATTCAATTTTTGGAGAAATTACAAATGATTGCAAAAATCCAATTATTTTCAAAGAAAAATAAAATTTATAAAATTCGACTATGTTCAAAATTTGAAAAAAATTCTCGTAAAAATTCACAAATATTCTTATAAATAACAAAATTCTTCTCCAAAGTTCAATTATTTACAAAAATATCAAAAAAATTCTTGTCCTAATTTCAATTATTTTCAAAAATTTTTCTCATTTCAATTATTTTCAATATCTACTATTTTAATAAAATTTCCCAAAAAGAATTCAATTATTTAAAAAATATTTTAATAAAATTCTATGAAATAATTCAATTATTTTTATAAATAATAAAAATATTTCCAAAATCTACTATTTTAATAAAAGTTCACAAAAAGAATTCAATTATTTAAAAAAAATTTTAATAAAATTGTATGCAAACATTTAATTATTTTTATAATTAATAAAAATTTTAAAGGAATTCAATAATTATTTTCATAAATAATAAAATTCTTTTGAAGAATTTCTTTGAATTTTTTTTAAACTAATGGAGTTTTTTTAATAATTTTAATTGAAAATTTTGAAAGCAATTTTGTATTTATAAAAATAGTTGAATATTGTTTCGAAGAATTTATTAAAATTTTTAGAAATAATTAAATTGTTATGAAGAATTTTACAGAAATAATTGAAAATAATGAAATTTTTTCGAGAAATCCAATTAAAGTTGTTTCGAAAACAATGGAAACAATTTAAAGAATTTTATTAAAATTAAGTAGGTATATTCAAAATAATTGAATTGATCACAAGAATTTAATTATTTTTTGAAAATTATTGAATTTATCACAAGAATTTTATTATTTTTGAAAGTAATTGAATTCATGACAAGAATTTTATTATTTTTTGAAAATAATTGAATTCTATCAAATTTTTTTACGAATATATTTAAAAATCGCATTGAAAGTAATTTAATTTTTATATAGAATTTTTTAAAAAATATTTTGAGAATAATTGAATTACTTTTGAAAATTTTAAATTCTTGTTGAAATTGCATTTTATGGTAATTTTTGATAATAGTTAAATTCTTCCATGTAATTTTATTTAAATTTGATTAAAAAATTATAATTCCTTCAAAGAATTTTTGTATTTATAAAAATAGTTAAATTGTTTCAAAGAATTTATTAAATTTTTAGGAAATAATTGAAATTTATGGAAATATTTTAAAATATTTGAATTCATCAGAGGAATTCAATTGAAATTGTTTTGAAAATCATTGAATTTTTGTAAGGATTTTACTATTTAAAAAAAAAGATTGAATTGTTTAGAAGGATTTATTAAAATTTTATGAAATAATTGAAATAATTTTTGGGTGTAAGAGTTTTTTCTGGCTCAAGAGTTTACATAAATTTTTGGAGTAAAAGTTTCATTACTTTTTTAAAATTTCATGATTTTTGGACGTAAGAGTTTTTTTCCAGCGCAAGAGTTCCATTAATTTTTTAGAAATTACGTGATTTCTTGGAGCAAGAGTTTTACTAATTTAATAAAATTTCATGATTTATGGGCGTAAGAGTATTTTTTCAGCGCAAGAGTTCGAATAATTTTTCGAAATTTCGTGATTTCTTGGCGCAATTTTATGATTCGAAAAATTCGAAAATTCCTAGAGGTAAAATTTACTACCAAAAAAAAGAAACAATCAGACTGATTTTAATTTTAATTTAATAATTGCTCAGTGTAATAAAATATTACATAACGGCTTAGATTACAGATGATGCATCGTACTTTAAATCGAGTACATTTGGAATGTTCTACAAATGCATTAATATATTTACAAACTAGACAATTTTTTCTAACGACGCACCTACGCAATTAAAATACTTCAACTATACTTCAGAAGTACTTCAGTCAATTTCTCATATCAAGATACGACATTATAGTGTGCTTTTCATTAATACACTTCTTTCTTCAGTGTAAATATCGCGTAAAATTACAAGTAAAAATTCGTTATAATACTTGAAGGACTTACTCTCACAAAATTTTCGTATTTTGTCTCTTAACAAATGTAAAAAAAACTCACTTACAAAAACAATGTGTATAAAAAATATTTATACTCTTTAAATTCTTCTCTCATATCAAAGTGCGTGCTTATACAAAGTTGTTTTATTTCTTTTAAACATTTCCTCAACGTACGTCGTTAGATTTAGGCGTTAAATCTTTTTTTTTTCTTAAATGCTTATAAGTCTCTGTTTGAAATAAATAATTCTTAGAATGTATTTAGGTATATATTATCTTTTTTTTATGATTAGAGATTTTTCACAGGTCTCAGGACGTTTTCGGTAAATTGGCCAACGATATTTCCTCTTGGATGATAGCAAGCGACGACAACGCAGGTTCCGTCTCGTTTGGCCATTGCGATTCCCATTTCGCTCGTGGATTTCCAAATAATTTGAGTGAAATGACCTGAGAGTGGAATAAAAGTTAAGAAAATTAATTAAAAAATTAATTAATTAAGAAAATTTTAATTAAAATATAAAGAAATAAGTTACTTATAATTTCTTTATATTTAAATTCTACTTGGAGGAGAATTTCTAAAGAAAGTTGACTCACATGTATTGAGTACTTTTGGCTCGGTTCCAAACTTGTGCTCCTTCCTCTCCGAGTACCATTTGGAGATAACTTCTCTAGGCGATACAATTAATTTCGGATCGGAACATTGCATCGAGTAAATGTTTTCTCCATAAGGAGAGGTCGACTGCGGAACGAGTTTATTACTGTTTAATAGCGTGTGTGCCCAGGCCTACAAAAAGTTTAATTGTTAACTTCAACCGAACTGAATAGGCAAGCAAGTAGGTCAAATAAGGGAAACTAATTATATCATGGAAAATTGGTTAATAGTATTTTATTTGTATTTTATTTGTTGGAATTTTGTATTTTTATTTTTCTTTGAATTTTAAATTTTGATTTTAAATTTTCAATTTTCAATTTTGAAATAAGGAATACTGTTTTTGCAAATGGAATAAATACTTTTGCAGCAGCAGTTAATTCTGGACTGAGTCTTAAATCCAAAACTCGATGTCTTCGGCGGTATTCATTGTGTATAAGCAGTGCCTCCTGTTGCCATCCCTTCTCATCAATTGCGCTCTGTTGTTTTGGATCAATGAGAGTGATCCGCTTTTCTGACCCGCAGCTTCCAGCTGGCGGCAGGACATTCTCGGTGAAACTTCCCAGAAAGTTTCCCGCTGGGTTATAATTGCATACCACATAGACTTCACCGTTGCGATTCCTCGCCATTCCAACTCCAAGTTCCGTACTATCGCGCCAGACCACCTGAGAAAAGTGACCGGTTTTCAATGTTGTTGGCTCCTTGCTGTACTGATGCTGCGTCTCCTCGGCGTACCTGTCAGTCATTAAACAGACACTATTAATAAATCTAATCTCTACATTGAAAAAAACTCATTCTTATAAGCAATTACCTTTAAAAAATTCACTTCATTCAAAAATGAAATTGAAATGAGATATAATTAAATTCAAATAAGATATATAATTAAATTAAAATAAGTTATAAAATTAACTATAATAATCTTCGTATTTCATTCTATCATTCTGTCTGTCCATCCATTAGCGGATGGAGTATTTTGACTAGTAATTTTGCCAAAATTATTTTACAAAAGTAAATTCTTGTAAATAAACATCTAATGAACAAAAGGCAACAAAAAAATCAATTGCTAATTAGCAATTGAATTTTATAAAGCTATTTACTTCGCAAAACTCGAAAATTCGATTGTCTGCTAATTGGCGGATGGAGAATTTTGACTAGGAATTTTGCCAAAATTATTTTACAAAAGTAAATTCTTGTAAAGAAACATCTAATGAACAAAAGGCAACAAAAAAATCAATTGTTTATTAACAATTAAATTTTATAAAGCTATTTACTTCGCAAAACTCGAAAATTCGATTGTCTGCTAATTGGCGGATGGAGAATTTTGACTAGGAATTTTGCCAAAATTATTTTACAAAAGAGAATTCTTAATAATAAACATCTAATGAACAAAAGGCAACAAAAAAGTCAATTTTTTATTAACAATTGAATTTTTTAAAGCAATTTACTTCAAAAAACTAAAAATTAGACTGTCTGCTAATTGGCGGATGAAGAATTTTGACTAGGAATTTGGCTAAAATTGTTTTACCAAAGTAAATTCTTGTAAAGAAACATCTAATGAACAAAAGGCAACAAAAAATCAATTGTTTATTAACAATTAAATTTTTAAAAGCTATTTACTGCGCAAAACTCGAAAATTCGATTGTCTGCTAATTGGCGGATGGAGAATTTTGACTAGTAATTTTGCCAAAATTATTTTACAAAAGTAAATTCTTGTAAATAAACATCTAATGAACAAAAGGCAACAAAAAAATCAATTTTTTATTAACAATTGAATTTTTTAAAGCTATTTACTTCAAAAAACTAAAAATTAGACTGTCTGCTAATTGGCGGATGAAGAATTTTGACTAGGAATTTGGCTAAAATTGTTTTACCAAAGTAAATTCTTGTAAATAAACATCTAATGAACAAAAGGCAACAAAAAAATCAATTGTTTATTAACAATTGAATTTTTAAAGCTCTTAGCTTCGCAAAACTAAAAAAGTAAAATCCTGATGAGAATTTTATTGTTTGTATAAAAATAATTGTATTTTTTACGAAGATTTTTATTATTTTAAAATTGCCTAAAGAATGTTGTTACAATTATTGAATAGAATTGAATTCTTCATAAAATCCAATTACTTTCAAAATTTTGAGTAAAAAATAATCAAAATTACTCCACTATTTTCAAGAAATATTGAATAAGTTCTTAAAAACAATTCAATTATTTTAAAGAATTTTAATAAAAATTTTGCCAAGAATTAAATTATTTTCAATTTTTTTTTATAAATTGCTTTACAAGAATTTAATGAATTGATTGAATTTTTTGCAAAATTTATAAAATAAGTGAATTTTTGAAAAGATTTTCTTAAAATTCTATTTAAAATAATTGAATTCCTAGAAAAAATTAACTATTTATTAATATAATTGAATTCTTATGAAGAATTGAAAAAAGTGTTTAAATCAAATTTAATTTTTCCTGGAATTTAATTAAAATTGTATTTAAAATAATTGAATTGCAGCGAAAATTTCATTACTTAAAATAATTGAAAATAATTGAATTCTTGAATTGAATTTTATTAAAAGTTTTTGAAATAATTGAACTCCTTTGAAAAATTTAATTTTTTTTAAAATAATTGAATTTTCTCGGAGAATTTTTTTACAAGATTTTTAAAAATAATAGAAATTTTCGAAGAAATCAATTAAAAATTGTATTGAAAATAAATGAAATCCTGATAAGAATTTTATTATTCATATAAAAATAATTGAATTTTTTACGAAGATTTTTATTATTTAGAAAATTGAATTTTTGCAAAGAATTTTGTTACAATTATTGAAAATAATTGAATTTTATGAAAAAATTCAATTCTTTGAGAAACTTTTAAAATTTTCAGTAAAAATTATTTTAAAAAATTCCAATATTTTCAAGAACTAATACTTTTTAATTTAAGAAATGTAACTTGCCATTCATTCACCGGCTCTTCACCACCAACAATAGTCTTTGGATTTGAACTCCACATGCAATAGAGATTTTCACCATAATCTATATTAGCTCTGTGCTCTAATCTACCCCTGGCTGCCAAGACATTCGCCCATTCCTGACTCGCTCTGCAAAGCTGTTTTTATAAACAAAAAATTATTTACATAAAAACTGTATTTTTCATAATCTTCAAAATATATTTTTTTTAATAGTTTATTTTCAAAATATTTTTTTTTCAAAATATTTTCTTTTCATAAAATATTTTCTTTTTAAAATATTTCTTGAATATCCCAACTTAAAAAATTGCATATTTCTTTAAATTTCATCTCTCGTTTTAAATTTCATATTTCTTTTTGCAGTTTGAATAGAGGATGTAATAAAACTTTGATTGAAACGTGTTTTTTTCTGATATAATGAAACCTTTCAAAGGTGTGGCACATAAAGACAATTAAGATTTCCAGGTCGAATCATTTTATCAATTTATTACGTAAAACTTTCGGCGAATTAAATTTTTTTTTTCTTTCTATAAAACTTGGAAAAGAAATTTTTTTTAAATTAAAAAAGAAAAACAAACCTGTTTACTGAGTCGTAGGGATGGAACTCCATGTCGTGCTCGATAAAAATTGTGAGTATCGAGACAGAGATTGATAAATTCCTTGCTAGCACCTGATCTACGCACAGACGGTTTACGTGTTTCAGTCTTTGTAATCTACAAAAATAGAGAATTTTCATTATGGAAAAAAAAATAAAATTCATTTTATTTAGAGTAAATTCGACACTAACTGACAAAGATTTCCCATTATCAAATTTTATTTGACATTTTCCCGACAGAAAAAAAATGACGATCTGTTTTCAATGGCCAATGTTCAATTATTTTTAATTTCAACTAGGTATTTCAACTAATTAATCAACGACATTTATTTTAACTAACGATTTTTAAAAAAAAAATTTTTTTTTAATAAATATTTTTTGAAAAAATATATTTAAAAAAAAACAAATGCTTCTTTTAAAGAAGTTTTTCAATTATTTTGTAATAAACGGCCAGAAAGAAATTATTTTAAGCAGATAAATATAAATGAATAATTTTTGTATATAAATGAATGAATAATTTAAGTATAATTATACCTAAGTATTAATAATTAAGTATAATTATTTTCAAATTATTTTCAAAAAATAAAAAAATTAGACAATTTTCTAACACAAAATAATTGACAGCAAATTTTTAATTGTTTTTAACGGCCTTATGTTCGCAATTATTTTTAATTATTTTCAAGTAAATTGGTTTTTGTTAAAACACTTTTTTTAATTCTTTTGTAACGAAAAGCCTGAACGCATTATTTTAAGTGTATAAATAAATAAATTATTATAAATAAATGAATTTCTTTTATTTTAAATAAGTGATTTTTTTTCATTTTAAATAAATTTAATTTAACTAACTACAATTTACATAAATAATTAATAGATTTAGAAAAATCAATTCTTTCTACTTTTATAAATTCTCTAAATAAATTAATTCTTTCGAGAATAATTTATTTATTTATTTGTAATATTTAATGTTTATTAAATATTTATTTAATTACTTACTATTTAATTCAAATAAATGACCGAATAAATAAACTATAGATTTAGAAATTAAATCAATAAAATAGATTATAAATTTTAAAAAAAATTAAAAAAAATTTTTTTTTAAATTAAAAAATAAAATGAATTAAAATTGAAATCAGTACAATTGTGTTTTTACACAAAAGGAAAAGATACAGTGACTGGGAAAAATATAGGTCTCCATCACATCGTTTGTCAAATAAATATGTGCGTTAAAAATTGTACATAGAAAAAAGAAAAAGAAAAGTTGAACATGAATGAGAACGAAACGACACGCAATATTATCGATGGAGGCATTTTAAATGAGAAAAAAAACTATTCTCATAGTTTAAGGCGAGGGATATTAAGACTTTGTTAGTAAGAGTCGAAAGATTTTGATTAGTCATTGAACGTTAAATGAACTATTAATTGGAAAGTCCATTAATTCCATGGAGCATATTACATTAAGGAAAGTTTTAATGGAACCCATAAAATTCTTTTCTGAATAACATTCCTCTTTATATATATTAAAAATCCTGTTTGTTACTTTTTATACATTATTAATTATATTAATTTGTTTAATTTATTTAATTTATTTTATTTATTTAATTTATTTTATTCATTTAATTTATTTTATTTATTTAATTAATTTTATTTATTTAATTACAAAATTTATTTGAATTTTTCCTGAATTAAGAGTCATTCCCCATTTTTCCTTAGTTTTAATTTATTTTTCAATTCTTAAAAATTTATTTTAATAACTGCACCGGAAAAAAATTGGTTCAAACAATTATTAGTTCAAATTTATTTGTTTATTTTTTTTTTTTTAACGTTTACTTGATAATATTCAAGTTATCAGTTATTTGAGTCAAATAAATTTTTTTAGTGTAATAAATATTAAGGCTTTTTTTATTTTTATTTAATTTCAATTTTATTTTCTAAATAAAATAAATTTGTAATTTTTTATTTTCTTCATGAAATTAAAAAATTGCAGTTCATAAATAAATGAAAGTTCAAAATAAACCTGTGAGGAAGAATATCTCGCGGAATCAGGAGACGCCGAGGAAGACCTTGCACTGCTGCATGACATTCCATCGCTGCCGAGGCTGCTGTGAAAACTGCCATGTAACGAATTAGACAATGGTCCAGGAGATGCTGGCGATGCCGTCAATGGTGATTTCGATCTCACCGAGTCGGCTCTCGATCTGAAAAAAATATTTTCTCTATTCATTTCACAATTCTATTTCTAAAAAAAATTTCATATTCTTGAAAAATATATGATGAACATGATTTCGATCCAGTGTCTAATAACAAAATTTAATACGTATCCGAAAAAGTAATAAAAATTTTTTTTTTAAAAAAGTGTTTTAATTTAAAATTTAAAGAAACATTAAATGAAAAATTTAAAAAAAAAATAAAAGTGAAGAATTAAAAAAATTAAAATTGAAGAATTAAAAAAAATTTTTTTAATTTTATATTAAAAAAAAAAAAAAATAAAATAAAAAAATAAAAAAAAAATTAAAATAGGTTCAATGAGACTTTGAAAAGCAGGGAAACTAGATAGAGATTTATTTACAACTTTCGAGATGGTTTTCCGTAAATTGTATCAGATTGCAGGGAGATGGAAAAAAAATGGAAGAACATGGTCGACAATCGCAGAGGGAAGTTGTTATCGAGTGCCAAAGTGCTCTTTAGGTTCTAGATGTCTATAAAGGAGACACGCTTTCACTCACGTTCGAAGAGCATCCTTTACGTGCGTCTACTTTTAGATACTTATTATATTCGCGATTAATTTAAATATTTTTTATATTCGCTCTGCGAAATAAATATTCTCTTTTCCTTTCTTTGTTTCGTGACATCCTGACGAGTAAATAAAAGACTCGATGAGTTTTCTATTCAGAAAATAACAATTTATACTTTTAAAAAAATACAAAAAAATATTAGAAATATTAGAAATAATTATAAATATTATAAATATTATATATATATATATTAATAAATATTAAAATATAATCAGAAGAAAATATTATTAATTTCGCAGTGAAAAAATGAAAAAAAAACTTATCTTACAAAAGCAAAAAACTAGATTCTAAAGAACTTTTCCGACTGGGATTTTCTTTTTTTTCTATTGAAAAAACCGCTTCAATGTGGGTTGATTTATATACATTAACACAATCGACTGAAATATAAATTATAAATAGCTTATTATTTGAAAATTGCATATTCAAGTGAAAGAGAAGATGACTGTAAAAATTTAAGATAAGATGCTCGGATTTATGTAATTTATACGCATATGTATATAATTATGTATATTCACGTCTGGATCTTACATCATCGAATTAAATATGCAGCATGCATGACAAGTCAAATATATAAAAGAAGCAAAAAATGAATTTTCAGTGAAAGAAGGAATTACTTTTTTTACTTCGAAAATCTTAATTTTTTCTATAAAACAGATGATAAAAATAGCGAATTTTATGTTTTTGAATTCAAATGTTTTTTTTTCGTGAATTCGTGAATTTAATTGTATGGTAAAATGAAAGCAATAGTGGAAGTTATAAAGGAAATTTTTGATAATGTATATATAGTTCAATAAGCAATGTCAGTATCGTGCTTCCAACTTTTGTCAAGTTGAGAGAAAGCTGGAAAAAAATCCAGAGTTCACAATCGTGACGGAAAATTACCGTTCGATGCATCTAGTTTATTGTCTATTTCACTTTTGACTGGTGTACATTTTATTATTTCCTGTCAAACCTTTTTTTTCTCATTTCTAAGTACGATTGAAAAATAAATAAAATATTATTTGTGAAACATTGTTACTGCTTTCTCTTAATTTTTTAAAGTAGGTATCTACTCTCTAAATTTGAATTAGTAAATTAACTAAAAATGTTTAATAATTTAAATTAGTGAGACTGACTTTTTGCTTTTAAATTGGTAAAGTTTACTAATAAAGTAGTAGTAGTAGTTGTAGTTTTTTAAAACCTACATAAAAACTGTTTTTTTGTTGCTTTAAATTTTTCAATTAATTTTTGACTCTCACTGGATGTTTTTCAGCAAACTGACAACTTGAAAGAAAAGAGTCTCTCTCCTCTAAGAAGCAGACTTTTTTTTCTAATTTTTCTCTAAATCAGTACCTTTCAGGAGTTAACTGGTCAACAAAACCGACAACCTTCTTTTTCGATCCGCTAACGTTGAGAGAAGGCATACTACAAGGATCAAGGATTTACTGTTAGGATCGTAAATTGGGTTTCAAAAAAAATTTAAATTAATATTCAATTTCTAATAAAATAGAAACTATTGGGTTTCGACTTCTAATTTTCTTCAATTTAATTATTTATTTAATATATTATTATCACAAATTAAATAAGCTCTAAAAATTATCCCAATAATACATGATATTAAAAAGAAAAATTATTATTACGCCCAGAGAAAAGGTATATTTGCCTCAGAACAAATTTATACGTTTATTTAACTCAAAAAAATATATTTTTGGTTTAAATAAAATTTTTCGCTTTGTGTAAAACGATGCAAAAGTAAAAAAAAAATTGTAAATATAAAAATACCTAAAAACATCTATTCTAATTATTAAAAGAATACTAAAAAAATACTAATATAAACAAAATTTTAAAAATTTTAAAATCAAAATCAAAGCCAAACCCCGAAATCTCTAATTTGCAGAAAGACGTAAAAAATTAAAAATCGATAAAATTGTTATTTAAATTGAAAATATTAAAATATTAAAAAGTATTTATTCTTTTTTTTACCTGTTTGACTTGGGCGTAACAATATCTCTCGTTTCTGAAGTGAATTTTCTCTCTGCTCGACCACCGTTAAATAATTCAACGGTTTCTCTGGTCACTGTTTCTAAAAGTGGTTCACCACCTCGTCGACCTTTACTAAAAGTCCTTTGGTCCGTTTTACGAACCATTACGACCCTTGACAGTGGTTGATTGAACTCGTGGCCATGCATCGTTGGAGGAATCATTGCCAACGATTGCGAAAGTGGACCACCCACTCGAGGCGATCTGAAACATTGCAGAAACAAAATTTATCAATTACAATCACTTAACAAAAAAAGAAAATTGTCAATCACTTCATTATTATACCTAATATTAATAACATAACAAAAATGTATTTAAAAAAAAAAAATAAAAACTATTCTCAAAAATTATAATCAAATTCTTTAAAACGATTCAATTATTTTCAAAAAAAATTCAAAATTCTATTTTCGATATCTAGTATTTTTATAAAATTTCGCAAAAGAATTCAATTATTTTAAAAAAATGATAAAATTCAATTATTTTCATAAATAATAAAATTTCCACAGCAATTCAATTAATTTAGAATAGAATTTTTAAAAGAATTTCGAAAAAATCATTTATTTAACAAAATTTTTATACAATTATTCACAATAATTCAATTACTTTTACTTATAATAACATTTTTTATGGAAATGCAATTTTTTAAAAAATTTTTGATAAAATTCTAAGAAAGAATTCAATTATTTTCATAAAAAAAAAAAAAAAAAAAAAAAAAAAAACTTATCAAAGAATTTCAATTATTTTTAATACTTTTTTAAATTAATTAATTGAAAAATTCAATTATTTTCAAAAATAACCAAATTTTTCATAGAAATTCAATACTTTTTAAACATTTTAATAAAATTTTTCGCAATAATTCAATTACTTTCATAAATAATAAAATTCTTCTCAGAAATTCAATTATTTTAAAAAATATTAATAAAATTCGTTGCAACTATTCAATTAATTACAAAAATATTAGAATTTTCCACAGGAATTCAATTATTTTCAAATATTTTAATAAAATTGTTCGAATGAAATCAATTATTTTAAATACAATTTTAATTAATTTTTTTTTTTAAATAATTCAATTATTCTTTTATATTTTAATAAAAATCTTCTAAAGAATTCAATTATTAAAGATAAATAACAAAATTATTCCCGAGAATTCAATTATTTTAAGGCATTTTAATAACATTGTCTGCGAAATTTAATTACTTTCATAAATAATAACATTCATTACTAGAAATCTATTATTTTTAAAATTAATCCATTTTTTCTTGAAAATTCAATTATTTAAAAAAATTCTAATAATATCGTTCGCAAGAATTAAATTATTATCTTAAATAATAAAATGCTTTTTAGGAATTAAATAATGTTCAAAAATTTTCAAAAAATCCTCGTCAAAGTTTCAATTATTTTTATAATTATATTCAAATTCTTCTTCGAATTTCAACTATTTTTAAAAATTTTAATAAAATTCTTGTCAAAATTTCAATTATTTTCAATAATTTTCCTCAATTCATTTTCAATATTTACTATTTTAATAACATTTTCCAAAACAATTCAATTATTTAAAAAAATTTATAATAAATTTCCAAGGAAACATTTAATTACATATATATTATTTTTATAAATAATAAAAATTTTGCTGGAATTCCATTATTTACAAATTTTTTATAAATTTCTTCACAATAATTCAATTATTTTTATAAATAATAATATTTATCACAAAAATTCAATTATTTTTAAAAGTAATACTTTTTTTTGGAAATTCAATTATTTAAAAAAATTCTGAGAAAATCGTTCACAAGAATTCAATTATTTTCATAAATAATAAATAGTTTTTTAGGAATTCAATTAATTTCAAAAAAATTTAATAAAATGTTACATAGATATTCAATTACTGTCAACAATTTTAATATAATTATTTGTAATGTTTAATTATTTTTAAAAACTTTTTCTAGTTCAATGATTTTTATTATCTACCATTTTCATATAAAATTTCCAAACAGAATTCAATTATTTAAAAAACTTTTTGTAAGAATCTTTGTAAGAATTCAATTCTTTTCATGAATAATAAAAATTTCTCTGGAATTCAATTATTTAAAGTAGAATTTGCATAAAATTAGTCCAAAGAAATTAATTATTTAAAAATTTTCATAAAGTTCTTCGCAAGAATTAAATTATTTTTATAAATATTTAAATTCTGTCATGAATAATAAAATTCGTTGCAGTAATTAAATTTATTAGCAAGATAAGAAAGAAGTAAATATTTTTTTTATGAAAATTAGAAAAAAGTCAGAAATTTTTGTCAGTTTTTTGAAGTTTTTTAAACGAATTTTTTTTATCGTCAAGTTTAATTTTTCGATAGCTACATTTTTACTACTTTCTTTAATTCAAAAGCTACTTTTTCCTACTTTTTTTAAAATGAATTATCGAATGCAAAGTTAGACTTTTAACTTTTTGAAAAAAAGTTATTAAACTTTTATAAAACTTTTATAAAACTTTTTGAAATAATCTCTAATTTTTCAGAATTTCTGAATTTTAAAACTGATCTTAATTTAAGAATTTTCTCCTTTTAAATGTGTTGTATACTCTACACGACATTCACTAAAATGAAGATGACATTCATTCATATTTCTGGAATATCCTAAGCAGATGTTTTCTTGCCAATGCAATTTCTAGGATTTTACGGCTCTGTGCTTCAGTGCCAGATGCAATAAACCTGTTTTCAGTTTCGCGGTTTTGTCTTTATCATGTTCTTAATTCCATGAAGGAGATAATTTAATAGACTTTTCTTTTTTTTCCTCTGCTTTTCACATCACTATGCAGCATTTTCATAAACTTTCAATATTTTATCAATTTTGACAGGGCAAAAATTTATGGGCAAAAGTTATTTTTAAGGTGAAAATAAGAAGAATTCAGTGCAAAAAGAGGTGTGTCTTATTTTATTTATTTATAAAATAAATTAAGACGTTTTTGGTGTCCAAGACACTAAAAACGTCTCAAAATAATTATTTAATTTATTTATAGAATTTATTAATTTATTTATAAAATAAATAAACACGTTTTTGGTGTCTAAGACACTAAAAACGTAAAAACGTCTCAAAGTAAGGCGCCTCTTTTTTGCAGTGAAAATAATAATTAGAACAATAATAATAATAATGATTAAAAAAAAATTCGAAAGCCATATAATAATAAAGATTTTAAACTATAATAATTTTGAGTCAACTTGGGGGAGGTTCCTCAGTTCCCACGCCTCCGTATTGTTTATTGATGTTGTTTTTAGAGTTGAAAATGAACTGTAAAATTGCACGTTTGAAGGCATTCAACAGGAAGTATTCTTCGGCGCGGGAGCAATCCGGTTTTCATTGTTCGCCGAACAGAATGATCGCTTTGGTGGTTATAAAAGTTACGCAACTCTTGCAATACGCGCAAGTCTAACGAGTTTCACTACTCAATATGACGAGTGGTTTTAGTTGCTAGGATAACGGATTAATCAAGCGGATAACCATTCGGTTATTCTTTCTCCCTCACAAGATGATGATGATGATGATTGAGAGAGGTGTGTGTACTCGCTGTCCATTTTAAAATAGTGAAAGGGAACTTCTCTGCACACAATCGAGTGTAAATCACTTTTGAAGCTTGCACAATATATTATATATTATATATTTTCATATAGTGCTCAAATTGAAAATATTCTCACACACTGCACTTTTAAAAAATTTTATATTTTATATAAAAATAAAAAATATAAAAAGGTAATGTCCAAATTGAAAATATTCTCACAATTTGCACTTTTACAAAATTTTGTATTAAAATATAAAATAAAAAATATAAAAATAATATAATGTCCAAATTGAAAATATTCCCACAATCTGCACTTTAAAAAAATTTTGTATTTATATAAAAATAAAAAATATAAAAATATAAAATCGAAATGTAAAGAAAGTGATGATAATAAATACGTATAAGAAATAATTATTAATCGACAGGAAATGATTTTCTTTCAAAACTGGTCTTCTTTTGCAAAAAAGAGAAGTTAACTAATTAAAGAAGAGGAAAAAACGCAATCATTCATCAATAAACACGTTTTTCCAGTTTTATGTCAGGCATACGTGAACTTTCAAAATAAATAACGAAAGTGTTATAAGAACTTCTTGTAATCTTGTGTATATCTCAGCAAATCAGGAAAATCGTAAGTTCCCTTGTATTGTTTACAAAACAAGTTCGAATTGAAAGTATACTTTTTTATATAATTGCTAATTGCTGTAGAAATATTTTTTTAATTTCCAAATTAAATACAAAATATTATATTATAGGGAATAGAAAATATTTTTAATTTCAATATGAAAAATATATCACGTTCCATATTTATTGAAATTAAAAATACATATTCAGGTGTTATCGAAATAAATTACCATTAAAATAGGAATAAATACGTTTTAATCTTTTTCTTTATCTTTTTATCATTTATTTGCACATTATGAATAAATATCCACTTTTTCAAAATAAAATTTAAATGAAATATTTTATTTCATTTTTTTGATGTAAAAAAGTGAAATATTTTGTTTTTTTAGACTATCAGATGGAAAAGAATTCGAAATTTTTTTTAATGAAACCTTTGCTCTTAAGTATGAGAAAAAATAATTATGTGACTATTACTAATTATAGTTTTATTAATTTTATAAATTGTAAATTTTTGAAGTCTCAATCGGAATGAATTATTACTTTTGACGTCATTCTCACCAACAACAGGATTATTTTTTTCAAATAAACTATAATTCGAATTTCGAAATGGGTTAATTAAAAATAAATTGATTAATTTATATTTAATAATTTATTACTGAAAAATAATTTATAATTAAATAAATATTATTAACAATTAACATTGACATTAACATTAACATATTATTAATAAGGGGAGCGTTAGCCTACATTCTTAACTATCTGAAGAAAATGATTTAAATCTTCCATAAATTATTAAATTATTAAATTAAGCTATTAAATTAAATCATTAAATTATTATTAAATTATCTTCCATAATTATTTTTATAGTAATTTTTTGAGAGAAATTCAATTTGGTCGTAAAGTAAAATCAATCAGAAAATATTTTTACCCTTTTTAAAATTTTTATTTTTCTTAAAAATTAATAGACTATAAAACCCCATACATATAAAAAAATATATATAAAATATAATATGTAAAAAATATATTTTTAT